CATGTGAGCCACTTCTGTTTCTAAAGCCAGTGCTGCCTAGAAGTCCACACTTTTGAAACTGAGTGGCGCTGCTCTGTGTCTATCCTGCCTTTTCTCTCCTTTCCCTCTGGCCCCTAGCAGGTCTGCCTTCCCCAGCTACCAGGATCTACGAGAAATGGAGTTTGGCCAGCTTTCCCTAAAGAGCGCCTGCCAGGGCTGGGAGGTTGGGGGTGGAGAGTCCCAGGTGGTGAGACTACAATGACTGATTGCCCTGATCCAGGAGGTTTTGCTCTGGCCTCTGACAAAGGTGGCAGTGGGCAGAGGTGCCCTTTGGCCCTTGTTGGCTATCAGGCAGGGGTCATAGGCTGGGGTCTCAGCAGGGTATGGGTACATCTGTGGAGACAGGCCCTCATCTGTGCCCTCCAGCATGGTCATCAGGTGAGGCTCAGGTGATCTCAGCCATGAGCAGTGTTGTCCACTTAGTTGGTGTGGCCTGGAGGCCAGAAGATGATCAGAGGCTCCCTGAGGGCTGCAGGGCCATCTAGCGACATTGCTGTGCAGGGGCTGAGCCCAGGGCTAAGCTTATTGCAACATAGAAGAGGAGATGGTCCACGTCATCCTGTTTTTGGAAAATGCGATTAGCAAAACTAGGTGAAGCCGACCTCTTGGGAGGCCAGCCTCCATGCCCCTGGAGGGGCAGAATTGGGGCAGTGTGCATGACTGCACAGCGCCTTGGAGGCCAGGTGTTCCCTCCGGCTGGATTCAGGCCACAGCCTAGATATCTGCCCTTGCTCTTGCAACACGAGGTTTGGGCCTGACCGGGAAATGATTGTCAAGGACCACGTTTTCTCCTCTCTTCAGAAGGCTAGCATACAGGTGATACAGCCAGCTGCTAAACTGAGGCGGGGGGCAGGGAGTGCTGGCCAGAACCTGAGGGCACAAGCCTAAGCCTTTGCCTGGCCTGGCGGCCATCTGCAAGCCCTTAGTTGAATCTGCCTCAGCTTTGTGAGTCTGAGACACAGTAGGGTGCGGAGTAGTGAAGGGGCTAGCTCCAGGGTTGGAGGGCCGGGGTTTGAATCCTGGCTCTCCTGCTTACTAGCTGTGTGACCTTAGGCAGGTTACTTAGCTTCTCTCTGGCCTGCTTCCCCATTTGTAGAATAGGGGTGGCACTAGTACCAACCTCATGGGATTGCTCTGAGTTTTCCATGAGATAACGCATGTGAAGGACTTAGACTAAGCTTGGCCATTATGGTGGATGTTACTAGTAACACTAGTAGTGGTGACGGTGGTAGTGATATTTCCCCCACTTAATTCCTTTGCTGTCGAATGAATTCTGACTCATAGTGAGGGAACTGTTTTTATAATGGGTATCATTACACACCTGGACCTGCTGTACAAGAGTGATGGTTGGAAGTGAGGCATAAATAAATTTTCCAAGTTAATACCTGACCCTCACACAGAGCTAGTAGGAGTGTAAAATGGTGCAGCTGTTTTGGAAAACAGTCTGGCAGTGCCTTAAAAAGTTAAACATAAGGTTACCATATGACCCACCAATTCCACTTTTAAGTATACACCAAAAAAAAAACAAAAAACAGGGACTCAAACAGATACTTGACCAGTGTTGATTGCTGCACTATATAATGTTGGCACTATATGATGTGAAAAATGCAACCAATATCATGGAGTAAGTTGTATAAAAATTGTTAAATGAGAACCTAATTTGCTATGTAAACTTTCACTTAAAACACAGTAAAATATTTAATTTTAAAAAAAAGGTGGAAACAAACAGAGTGTGGTACATAGATACCAAAAACCAAACTCATTACCATTGAATTGATTCAGACTCATAGCTCCCCTATAGGATAGAATAGAACAGCCCTGTAGGGTTTCCAGGGAGAGGCTGGTAGATTTGAACTGCTGACCTTTTGGTTAGCAGCTGAGCTGTTAACCACTGCACCGCATAGATACAATGAGGTATAATTCAGCCATAAAAAAGAACGAAGTGCTGATACGTGCTACAATGTGAATGAACCTTGAAAACATTATGCTGAGTGAAAGAAGCCAGACATGAAAGCTCACATATTATATGATTCCTTTTATACAAATAGGCAAATGATAGAGACAGAAAGTAGATTAGTAGTTGCCAGGGCTGGGGGAGATTGGTTAGTGAGGAGAAAAGGCACCTCATGGTAAGTCATGTGTAAAGGTGTGTAGAGGAGATTGTCATTGTGACAGGGCCTCACAGAGATCTTGGCATATAGGTAGCAAGTAAACATCAACTTCTTTTAGCCCTTGCCTAGTTGTTTATGTCTTTGCCTTTTATTGATGCTTCTGAAATCCTTTTTGGAAGGAGGTAGAGTCCTCACTTCACAAATGATGAAACTGAGGCCAGAGAGGTGGAGTGTTGGAAGTCCTGTGGTAAAGTTGTATGGGCGCCTCTGCTCATTCCATTGGTGACACTTGGCCACGCAGCCACATCTAGCTGCAGGGCAGGCAGGCAAATTCTGTCTTTAGCCAGGTGGCCATGTGGCCAAATAGAACTGTCCTGTGGAAGAAGGGGAGAAGGGGTTGGCCTCAGTGACCCGAACCCTAGAGCATAGTCTCCAGAGTGGGACACGGGCCTCTGTGGAGGAGAAGCCATCAGAATTCCTGTCCCCACTTTGTCTGTCTGTGTGTTTGTATGTGAGTGATATGTGTGTGTTGTTTTTACAATATAATGATATACTGACACCATGGTATGGAGATATGACTTCTAAATTGCTATGCATTTGTGTTTCACTGGTGAACACGTGCCATCAGCATGGTAAAACCACAGGTCTGCGGATCAGAGTGGGAATCTACGATGAGGGAGAAAAGGTCGCCTTTGAAAACCCCTCTGCCCTGTGCTTTCCTTCCATTCTCTGTTCTTGCCCCTGGCTCTCTCCTGATCTGATGGGATATTTCCTCACTTAACAAGTAGGAGACTCAAGGCTCAGAGTGACAGTGTACCTTGTCGAGGGCCTGCGGGGGACACTCATTTTGCACGTGGGCGTCTGAGCTCTGAGAGGGCCACACAGGGTCCAGGCAGGGCATTTGCATAATGCTGGAGAACAGGGGCACGGAGGAATTGGAATTTCTGTAGAATCAAGTAAATGGAGCTGAACAGAGAGTTGGGAATGTTGGGCACTCCCTTACCAGACCCCAGCCTTGGCTAGAAGGTGCACTTCCTTGTGTGTGGGAATAGTGCTGATCTGTGAGAGGGACCAGGCCCTGTGTGGTCTCCCCCAGTCACGGGCAGGCGGGGACTTTCGTCCAACCCTCCTGGCCTAAAGTAAACACTGGTGTAAGGCCACAGCCTTGCCCACGGCTCACCTGAGGAACCCCCCTCTGCCTGGTTGTGGGATAGCCCTACCCAACTCCCTTTCCTAACTCCCACCCAAGAGCCTTCCAAGAATGCCAGTAGAGAAATCCACAAGGGTGTCTAGTCTTTGGAAAGCGCTGGACTTATGGATGTGGCTCACGTCCCCACCGGGGTCAGTTCTGAAGCAGGACATCCCTTGAACACATCATTGAGGGTGCACACTCTGCCCACTGAAGGTCAGAGGCAGACAGACAGACACCCAGTCTCTGTGAGCCAGTGGCCTTGCCTCCTGCTGTGCCTCCACACTTCTGAGCTGGCCTGGGAAAGATGGGCTGAGCTCAGAGCCCCATGAGTACAGGCTTCTTGGAGCCGGAAAGCCGATTCCTTTTTCCTCCTGTGGGGAAGAGAGTGGCAGGCCCACCGCCATGTCAGGAGTGGCCCCAGGGACCCAGCCCCTCCAGGGGCAGAGGTGGCTGGCAGGAGCTCAGAGTCAGCACCAGAACCCATGTGCTAATGCCAGGACAGGCCTCTTCCCAGTGCAGCAGGTAAGAAGCTCGTGGTTGGGGAGGGTCTCCTAACTGGACTACACTGAGGCAGCAGCCGTTCGCCTCTTATGCTGGACTTAGTGAGCACCCCTGTGCTCAGGGCTGAGGCTCCTCAGTGGGATCAGTGGAGAAGCTGGAGGTGGATCAAAGGTGGGCTGGAAACGGGAGCCTGCCCCTTCCTGGGGCCTCCTCCCCACACCTTGGCCACCCACCCGGGTAGTGGGACCATCATCAGTGAAGGCGTTAAGGAAAGCACTTCCCTCACCTGCTGGGAAGGAACTCCTGACTCGTGGTAACCGTGAAGACCTGTTTGCTCTGTGCACCCTACCGCCCAGTCTACAGTGCCTCCTTCCAGAAGGCCTCGTTATGTTTGGGAGGAAAAGCACAAGGCCAGAGGATGCTAAAAAAATCATCTAAAAAGGTCCTCCCGCCTCACCTTTGCCTCAGCAGGAATTCCTTAAAGCCTTCTTTCCTTGTTTTTCATTTCCTGTACCTCATTTCATTGTCTAAGAGTTTTTGCTGTCAGAAAAAAGGTTGTTTCTGGGTAGGTGCCATGTGTCCCGTCCCATCTCCCCCCATCCCCCACCCCCTCAACCACAGCCCTCTGCGAGCTCTTTGGCCTGCCTTGAGAGAATTTATGGATGTCATGGCCTTTCCTGCCCAGCCCCATAGCATGCTCTCACGGATGCAGCTTCTCTCTGGCCTCTCCTTGCCTCTAAAAATATCCTGGTTATTTTAAAGCCAGCTCTTCTGGAGCCTTGTCTTACTGCTCTCTAGTGAGACCAGACTCTGGCTGCCTCTCTTCTCCCAGCTGTCCTCATGGAGCCATCCCCTCCTGTCTCTCCCCAGCTCCGTCCTCCAACAAGGAAATAACGTCCTCTAGAGAAAGCCAAGCCCTTGTCCTTCCTCCTCCCTGGGGATTGGAGGGCAAGAAGTAGAGATGCGAGTCCTGGGGAGACACTTAGCCTGACTATACTATATTACCATGGGTAGGTACCAAGCGACCAGGAGAAGTTCTGGGGCCTTTGGAGAGGTGGCAGTGGTCAGAAGTAGCCTAGGTTGGAGGCAGTGAATGCCACCTCATTCTGTAGCCATGGAGCTTGCCTCTGAGTGACTCTGTCCCCTTTTCCCTGCAGCCTACCACCCTTCCCCAGGGCACCATCAACATGAACCAGTGCACGGACGTGGTAGACGGGGAGGGCCGGACTGGCCAGAAGTTCTCTTTGTGCATCCTGACACCCGAGAAGGAGCACTTCATCCGGGCTGAGAACAAGGAGATTATTAGCGGGTTAGTGTGCCCACTCTGCTGGGATGGGTGCTGGCTGCCCACACGCTCTCAGGCCAGGCTCCACGTTGGCACCAGCACAACACGGCTATGTGCTGATCCAGAACGGTCGTTGTTTTCTTCCCTTAATGTGTGTCACCTGCACCTGGTCGCCAGGACAGACATGGGACCCACCCTCCCTTCCACTTTTGCCTTTTTCCTTAGCACATCAACAGTGTGTGTGAAGGTGATGCGTGGTGTTGGGAGAGTGAGTGGTGGCGTTCATCCTGTGGGTGGTCCTGTGGCAGACAGCCTGAGTCCTGCCCTTCAGGGGTTTGGGGCAGGTCGGGGTCCTTGGTCCAGGGCCCTGAAGCACCTGCCGTGGTTGTATCTGCATGATCCTGTTTGCCTGCACACACGGGCCTGCCATCCTCCACGCAGTCAGGCAGATGAGAGCACTGGGAGACGTTCTGGACACTGGGGGCCCGGGGTCCTGCATGTGGCTGGGCAGTCCCAGGCCAGAGGCTTATGCCATGGCCACGCCTCATTCTTTCCTGTCCAGTGGGCAAAGTCTTGTACCCTGGGCCCCTGTAGCCCTCTTGTCACCCTAGGACACTTGGCCTCTGTCAGGGAGTCAGGTGGAGCACATTCTCCCGGGGGACAGATGCTTCTGCCTGTATCCTCTCCGTCCTCTGTTTCTAGCCTTCCCAGATGGAGCCCTTCCCTTGTCCTCCATGGCCTCCGCTGGGTCTCACTCCTTTGCCCAGTAACCTCCCCCCTGAGCTCTAGGGCCCATGACAGGTCTGAGGCTTTGGTCACATGGTCAGTCCAGCTCCACGTCAAAGCCAGGCCCCTGAGGCAGTGCCAGCCGTTCCCACCAGTCAGATGTGGGGCAGGGAGCCCTTCGGTGAGTCTAGCCCAACCCTCTTTCAGGAGAACAGGGGAGGTCCAGAGGCAGTTGAATGGGCCACTCAGAGCTGGATGGGGAGCATGGAGGGGCTCCTAGGCTGATGGGGCCACCACATTGCACCATGTCACACAGCTCCTTTAGAGTCCATTAAGGGCTGGCCAGGGTTGCCCCTTCTGTGCTCTTCCTGGGGTGGGGTCTAGGAGTTCTTTCCTCTCCACGCCCCTGCCTTTCAGCATTGCCCACCCCCCACAAACTCACTCACCATGGCTCTGCCTCCCAGAATTGGAGAGCCTGCCCGAGCTGTGTCCACTGCCCCAATCCCACGTCCACATTCAGCCCGTCTGCTCCTTTGTACTGAATTTACTTGGTTAACATTTCTAACACATCAGGGTAATGTCACATGCTTCCAGCTGGTCCTGTGAGAAATCTGAGTGCAGAGGACACGGCCCACCACCCTTTCCTGTGCCTGGGCCTCTCAGATTCCAGCTCCCTCCGCAATGTGCAGAGACAGGTGCCTGCTGCCCCCTGAGGACACCTCCCCTGGGAGGACTCAGACGCTCCCCTCGGCACCAGTACAGCCCCGAGGGCATATCTGCTCCTCGAGTCTCCAGGGACTGGGGGGCCGGGTCCAGGCCCACGGCTGGTGCAGGCAATTATGGGATGAACACAAGCCTGGGAGCAGCACCAGGCACTCGTTGTCCTACTGTGTGGCCCTGGATGCCCCCTCCATGTGGCCTGATCACCCTAGACTCTCCTGTTCCCTCACGGCCTAAGCCGTGAGGCCTGCGGACGTGCCCAGCCGGGAAGCACCTGGGCCTATGCAAGTGAGTTCCCGTTTTTGTGGGAGTCTCCCCTCCTGGGTAAAGCTTTAAAGGGACCTTGTGCAGGCACAGATCCTTGGAGTCCTTTCTTGCCTCTTGGGCCTGTGGAGAGGGGCCTGTGGGCCTATGGCTCAGGCTCTGATGGGCGCGGGCATTGGTTCATTGTCAGCAAATCAAGAGCTACTTGGTAAGGGCCTTGCTAGGTTGCAGGTGGCCCCTTGGTCCATAGGATCCTTGTACCCAAACCCAGCTTCACCACCACCAACTGTCACAGCTTACCTAGAAGACTCTGACTATGACCTGGCCTTCCTCCCTGCCTGCAGCTACCCCAAATTAAAGCAGTACTTCTCATGCTAAAAGCATGCTCCCTCACTGCCCTCAGCTTAGTATCATATGGTTGAGTCAGTACGGCCACTCTATGCAGACTCACTGGGACTGCCGGCCTCTGTCCCATCAGCAGGTCCTCACTACAGGCAACAGTGGGGCCAGTGTAGACCAAGTACTGCCTAAAGATTTGGCCAGACATCTCTGGCAGTACCTTCCCACTGGAGAGAGCACAGCCCTTTTACCCCCAGGGCCCAGGGCCAAAGCACAGGACCTCAGAGCAGGTGGGCTTGGGCTTCCCTCTTCCTGCCCCTCTACCAACCAAGCAGGACTGTTATGAACCTCGAGTCTCTGTCCACTGTAAAACTCTGTACAGTGGATGTTGCAGCCCCAGGTTTCAGAAGGAAAGTCAGGGGCCAGAGGGGTAGGGCTGTCAAGGCTGTTGGCGGACACAGCAGAGCCCTAGCTAGAATCCAAGCCTCTGGCTGCAGGCCCATATGCTCCCCTCTCCAGGGCACAGCAGTGAGCTGGAAGGTCAGCTGCTCAGCCACCCAGGTGACCTGCTGCAGGGGTCTTTGGTGGCATGACTCCTGGATTCCTGCACAGGACAGGCATCTGCCTCAGGACAGCCCCACCCAGCTCCAAGCCCAGCCCATCTGCACACCTGCCAGGTCCAGTCTGGGAGGGGGGCTTACAGCTGAATGTCACCTCTGAGGACAGGACTGTTAAGGGGAACAGTAATGTGCACTGAGCTTCGTGGGCCTGTGGTCAGCCTGCCCTTGGCCCGAGTTGTGCAGGGCCTGCGGAGCCCCTTACTGGCACCGTGGTCATCGCAGGGTCGACGTCCGACCCTGGGCCCCATGTGTGCTTTTGTGGCCTGCTCTGTTGGCCCAGCCTGCCCGGCAGTGGCAGACTCTTACCAAGGACAGTGCTTTTCAAGCAGGCAGGCAAGATTCAGAGTTCTGGCTACCGGGTAGGCAGAGCATAGGGCCTAGTGACAGGCTGCCCCTGTAGGGCCACAGCCATGGTCCCTGAGAGCAAGGGTCTCACTGGGTGCCCCTCCCCTCTCTCCCCAGATGGCTAGAGATGCTTATGGTCTACCCCCGGACCAACAAGCAGAACCAGAAGAAGAAACGAAAAGTGGAGCCACCCACACCACAGGTACGTGCTTGATTTACTGGGTGCACCCTTGGTGGGCTGGGGAGAACGGAGAGTGCCCTGGAGGTCAGGGGCCTCAGAACCCAGCCTAGAACGGGGGGTGAGGGCAGTGAGGGCCATAACCCCACGTCCCTCTTCTTGACGTCGTGGGGATGGAGTACCTGCTGGGTGTTCTCAGGGCTGTGGTGGGGCTTCCAGCCAGAAGGCAGGTGCTGAGCAGCACGACGTGTGCCAGCAGTTTCCCCTGGCCTGGGGAGAGGATGCACGGGGAGGAGCTGCATGCGGCACACAGATGCCCGTGTAGCCACTGTACAGGAAAGAACTAGCCCCTCCACTTTCCTCAGGGTTGACCCTGCAGGTGGCAGGCTGAGGAGGGGCATGGGGAAGTATCCCAGAGCATCCTGGTTGAATGAGGGGGTCTCAGGGGACCCTGCTGTGCTCTGGGCTTTGACCATAAATGGTAAACGCTGGCAGTGGCCTTGATTTCTGTGTGTGTGCGTGCACACACACACGTCTCTTGTGTGGCCAGAGTAGGGGTGGCGGAGGTCATGCCGCCAGGTCCAGTTCTTCCCCAAAGGCCCCGAGTGTCACCCCTCCTCCTTCCTCCTCTTGGCCAATCTGCCAGGGCTCAGGGTGCCTGAAAGTGTTCTGCACCTCCCTGCCACACCCCCCATGCTTCTGGGACCCCGCTGGAGTGATCTCACCTTTCTGAGCCTCAGTTTCCTGTTCTGCAAAATGGGGCAGGGGGGAGGTTTGGTATCCAAGTAACAGAGTTAGTACAGCATGAAAAGGAGGATCGAGCCTGCCAGGTGCCAGTGTCCTTTCCTGGGCTCTGTGCCACCTTCTCCCCTGGGCACTGCTGTTACCTGAGCTCACAGCAGGGTGGAGGAGAGTGGGGCCTGCCGTGGAGTCTCCACAGCTCTCCTGGCTGCTGTCTGCCTGCTATGTGCAGAGGTTGGGGTGGGCGGGACCCATGAGCTATGCTCGCCTGCCCCCCCTTCCCTCCACGCCCATTAGGGACTCCCTGCAGATGCCCTGCCTCAGCCCACCCTCCATCCGTCCCTCGCCGAGGAGTCCCAGCGTACACCCATGACAGCATCCCTGAACAGTGTGTGTCTCTGGCAGGCAGTTGGCAAAAATGCAGTCGGAGTCATTCCTGGAGACTGAAAATGGGACTTCTGTGCTGGGAGCAGCAGTTAATCACACAAATCCCCCAAAGCTGCTTGGTTTGAGAGAAAAAAATCTCAGGCAGAATAGCAGCATTTAGGGTTATGCAGCATTTCCATGGTGATGCCTTGGAAACGGTGTGGGAGCAGAGCATCTGACTCCAAATAAAGTAACTCCACGTGCAGAGGACACGTTGGGCCAGACCAGGGGATTTGGTGATTGTCCTTGCTCCGTGGCAGCCCCTCCCATGTGACATCACCCCCTAAATACTTCTCATGTTGACTTTACCTTTTGGTCACTGAGCCATGGGTTGGTACCCGGAACCAGCATGATCCCAGGGCAAAAATGTCACCCACTTCCCTGAGGGCTTCTTAGACCCAGGAAGCTTGGGGTCTGTTAATCCAGCCAACACGTCTTGGCCCTCTCCCGAACCCCCATAGAGGCCCTGGGCAGGTCCTCTGCTTCCTCTGCCCCTTGGTCTCAGGTGTGTCACGTTTGAGGCCACTGTGCCCAGCAGCTGTGGATACTTTTCAGGGGCCTCTGCAAAGTGGGGTGGGGCTTGTACTCTACATCAGGGTCTACCTCTGTGGGTCAGTGTCAGGATGGCAATGTGGGGACCCCCAGGGGAGTCGGGAGGATACAGCTGCACTGGGGTCTAGGCCAGCCTCCTCTGTGCGCCTGGTGCTGAGGGCATCCTGGAGCGCTAGGGTGGGAGTGTCAGAGGCTGAAAGCCTCAGGGCCCTCTGGAGGCATGGCCTCACAGCCCCTCTGTGGCCCCTTCTCCAAGTTCCATATGGCCCAGGAGAGCTTCTGACCACACCAGCCGAGGACCTGAGGCTTCCCCTGCTGCTGTGCCCTGTTGGCCTCCACCTCTGCCCTCCAGGAACTCAGTTTAGCACAGGGCTGAGAGTCCCCTTGAAGAAGGGTGTCACAGGGAAACTGCGGGCCTTGGTGGGTCAGGTCAAGTATGAGGGGACTGCTACTGTGGGGACGTCACAGACGAGGGACAATGATGACAGTCCAAGGGGCTCTGGGGGAGCAGACCACCTTCGGCGGGAGGCCTGGGTCCAGAGTGACAGGAGCACCCCTACAGAGCCCAAGGCTGGGAGAGGGCAGGCCTGGCCCACTCTGGAACCTCAGAAGCCCAAGGGAGCCCCTTCCTCAGCCCTGTTAAGCTCTCAGCAGGAAGGGCTCTATGCTGGCACCTGAAGCTTCCAGCGGAAAAAAAAAGTCATCTAGGTGTGACCAGGGCAGGGGTCAGGCGAGGCTGGCGGCCATGTTCCCTGAGCAGGTGTGCAGGCCTGGCATCTCGTTTGCCCAGCCCTCATACCCTCCTACCCTCTCCGGGCTGGCTTTCCCATCTCCACAGCCCACCAGGCTCTCCATTCTCACTTCTGCCTGCCTTTCTTCAGGGGCTGTGAGACACGCCCAGCTCTCGGTACCAGGAGGGTCCCTCTGGCCCAAGTGCCCTGCCCTGGGGCCCGCCCAGGGCCTCTCCTTCTGCAGTCTTGTTTTCTGCTTGGGTGCTGTACCCTGCTCCAGGGTAGAGACCTCCCATCTTCACACAAGAAGTGGAGAGGAAGACCTCCTGTGGTTCCCCTGCAGAGGGGGGCCTCTGATGGGGCCTGACTCTGCCCCTGTGCCCTCTCCTGCTTTGAACCCCATCTGAGCAGCCCTGGTGCACAACAGGCTCCCTGTGGTGTCCACAGCCACAGGCCATCCAGGTCGTGCAGGACGGAGCCCACAGAAAGCCTAGCACCTCCACTGCTTCCTCTCAGCAGTACCCTCCCCACCATAATGAGGGCAGTATGAGGAGAGAAGGCAGCACCATGCAACCTGGCCTGGCCCCAGGCCCTTTCTGTTATGCCACGCACACATCTGGGCCTTCCAGGCCATCTGACCCTCCACACACACTCTCTTTGAAGGGAAAGAGCCTCTTTACCCAGAGCCTGGGCTCTGCTCTCCTCTCCCCTTCCCTAGGACGAAAGAGTGGCTTTGTTCCCACTGTCCCGTTGATGAGACCTGGCACGGGCAGGAGGGAGCAGGGTTGTCGAGAGAGGAAGAAGTCCCTGTTGGGCTGGGCTGGGCTGCACCTCAGGGCCATCTTCTTTGGGATGAGGCTTTTCCACAGTGGGGATTGGGAAGGGGGCTACTCATGGAGCCCAGGGCCAGGAGGGAGGATGTCTGCAGGGCTTGGTGTTGAGAAACGTGTGTATCTCCAGTGCTTCCAATCACGTGCCCTTGGACCTCACACCTGGTATGCCCTCCCCCTCCTGGGGATTGCTGCTAGCCCACCCCTCCCCAGGACTGAGGAAGAGGGGTGTATGCCCTGGGCGTTCTCACCTGTAGCATGGGGCATCAGCAGCCAGCAGTCAGGCCTCCTCTCGCGGGCTCGACTCCATCTCTTCTTCTGGTCTGGGCTCTGAGCCCACCGTCCCCTGCTCAGCCAGTACTGCTTTACCAGGGCAGACTTGACATGCTCCCCACCCCCTTTAGTCCCCACCCACCAAGCAGGCCTGGCCTGGCCCTGGAGCAGAAGACACTGGGCTGTTACAGAGGGCATGGCAGAGGAAGACTGCCCCCGGAGCCCAGAGTGCAGGAGCCGAGGACCTCACCACCAGGGAGACTAGGGGTCAGCGGCCTATTTGAGGCCCCAGCGGCCCTGGAATTGGCTCTGCTGGAGCCCCCAGGAGGTGGTCAGGATAAGCCATTGCCATGCACGTCCCTTGGCTTCTGAGAGCCACATGAATGCTGTCTCAGGGGTCTTCTGAGAACCGTGTGAATGCTTTCTGGCATGAGCATTCTCTGGGGGACCTTCTGTCTGTGGGCCAAGCGGGAGGGCAGACGGAAGCCTGGGTTTGTTTGTAGGAGGAGCCATCCAGCCTTATCCTGTGAGTTGTGGGATCCGTGCTAAGTGAATGGAGTTTCTGGACCCAGCAAGAGGCCCAATTCTTGCATTGTGGGACCTGGGGCCCCAGGGTCCTCGAGGATGCCACCTCCAAAGCAGCACCCCTCCGTCCTGAGCCCACGCTGTAGGAAGTGCACCACTCAACCCCTCACGAGCTGTGGGAGTTTGGGCACACCCCTCCCTTAGGCTGAACTGTGCCTCTGTGAGGGCACTGCATCTTCTCCAGAGGACTGCTGGGGAGACTGGACAGTAGTGTGGCTGCCTGAGCCCGGCACAGTGGCACTTGGCCACTGCAAGTACATCACCTGGTGGTCGTACTGTGTCTGCACACCCACACATGCACGCACTCTCCCTTATACAGAGGCTGTGTCACATACAACCCTGGCCAAGGGCCCCAAGGCAGAGGTGGGTCAGGGTGGGTCTCCATAAATGAAGTTTGGTCACCAGTACAGGGGGTTGGGGCGGGGGGTGAGTGTCTGCTATCGGCCTCTGTATTTCTGGCAAGAGAACTGAGCCGTGCAATGCTTTGAGAGGGACCACAGCCATTCAGCAGCTAGAGGGCGCCTCGGCTGGGCTGTTTCTCCGGCTGAGCAGGTGTCAGGGCCAGGGCTCCAGATGTGCGGGATTAAGGTTCTTTGCAGCTCCCGAGTTGGACCCCCTGTGTCTGTGGGAGAGCCCACTCCCACAGGGCGACAACAGCTCTGTTGACTTGGGACACAGTTCTTATCTGGGCTGCAGGCTGGGATCTAGCCTGTGTGGGTACATGCAGGCAGGCATGGGCATGTGTGTGTGCATGTATGTGTTTGTGTGTATGTGAGTAGATTTGAGTGGGATGTGTGGTTTGCATCTCTTGATTTGTTCCTTCACACAGTGACCCAGGTGTTCCATTTTAACTTCCTAGGACTACAAAATGGAGGGTGGGTGGTCCCCGGGATGCCCCAGCTTGCGTGCTTTGTGAACACATTTCTTTGCATCACCCTGAGGATCAGAAGGTAGTGTCTGAGTGTGTGTTCTCTTTCCTCTCCCCTTATCGTGTTTTTGAATGCTAGAGGTCTAAGAGTGGCATCTTGTGGGCAGCCCACTGTCGTTCAACATTGGTGCCTAGTGCATTGCTGTACAGCTCTGTCTGGGTTTGAGAACAGGGAGAACTTGCCCGTGTTTGGTGACATGGCTCTGAGAAGAAACCCAGAGTCTCCCTCTGTGCATTTACCAGAGGTATACTGAGGCCTAGTAAGACCAGGCCCTTTGGAGAGCTGGCTGGGCTGCAGAGCTGACAAAGCCACAGTGCCATCAGAAGGAGGCCCAGCTACGTGCATTCCTTCTATGTAGGCCCGTAGCTTTGCGTCCTCTGGGAACCTTAACATCCCCAGAGCTGAACACAGGGCAGCCGGGAGAGAGATCTGGTGCAGGCACGTGCTCCTGTGCCCAGCACAGACCACCCCACTCTCCTTTCAGGAGCCGGGGCCTGCCAAGATGGCTGTCACCAGCAGCAGCAGCATCCCCAGTGCTGAGAAAGTCCCCACCACCAAGTCCACCCTCTGGCAGGAAGAAATGAGGGCCAAGGACCAGCCAGATGGACGCAGCCTGAGTCCAGCCCCGAGTCCAGGCCAGAGCCAGCCTCCAGCTGCCAGCTCCCTGCGGGAACCTGGGCTGGAGAGCAGAGAAGGTAGGTGGGGCCATCAGGGCCTGGCGAGCCCAGCCATAGCCCCGCCCCACCACGTCCTGAGGCCAGGGCTCCACTGCCCACTGTGTCCTGAGGCTCTATAGACAGGACCTGGCCTGGTGCTGGGCCAAGAGTCCTGGCTCAAGCTTTCAAGTCCTCTGTGTAAAGGGGTAACACAGCACCTGCCCCATCAGTCTCAGGCAGTGGGTATGAAAATCAAAGATGCTGTGTAGCCAGGTGTGTGCACCTGTTAGGCAGAGCGACCTCTGGCCTTCTCTCCCAGGGGTATCTGCTTTCCTGACCAAGTTTCTCTTAGGCAGGAAATCCAGTCTCCCCACCCTCCATGGGAGGACCCTAGAAGCCCTTGTTCTGAGGGGAATAATAGTCAGGGAGGTCTGGTCCTTCTCCTCACCACCGCTGCCTGCCACAGGCCCCCAGGTAAAACAGAGGGAGAGGGTGTTGGGAGGAAACTGTGGCATCACCAAGCTTTCTTGGCCTCATGCCTTGGAGTTGCCTGAACAGCAGTGATTTCCATCGCAGCCTCCCTCACCTCAGGGCCAGTGAGGCCCAGACTGGCTTTTTCCTTTGATGTCATGCCCAGATCCTTAATGGTAAGGTGACAGTTGGGCTGAAACCCAGCTTGCTGAGTGGAAGTTGTCCCCCACTCCCCCTCAGCACACACCCATCCATATCTAACATGCATTTACTGTTTCATTCCTGCAAAACTCCACTGACCTTCCCTCCCCAGAGCTAATTCAACAAATGGAAAGGCCCGCTGGGCATGGTGTTTGCTGAGAGGTCATTATTTCTGGGTGAAACATCTCATTCCCAGCCAGCAACTCTTCTGACACTGGTGGGCTTTGGGGGTAGAAAATGGAGAGACGGCCCTGCTGGGGTCCTGAAGAGGACTTTTTTAAACCCTTAGAAACCAAGGTGGCAGCAGGGCCAAGCTGAGTGTGTGTCTCCCTCCTCCACCCCACCCCCCTACCCCCACTCCCATCTTGCAGAAGAGGGCACCATGAGCAGTGAGCAGATGGACTGTGGCCGCAAAGTGCGGGTGGAGAGCGGCTACTTCTCCTTGGAGAAGACAAAGCAGGACTTGAAGGCTGAAGAGCAGCAGCTGCCCCCACCGCTCTCTCCCCCCAGCCCCAGCACCCCCAGCAACAGGTATAGTTACCCCAAATCGTCCTCCCAGGAGCTTGGCCGTCCCCTTCCTTCCCCAGGTCCTCGACCCACCTGCCGCATGATCTGCAGCATCTCCCTCAACTCCTTGGACACCGCCAGCCCGCCCCCTGCTCACCTGGACTCTGGCAGCGCTGGGGGGCGGGGAGCAGAGAGACTGGGGCACGCCTTTGCCTTTAAAGCCAGCAGGCAGTATGCCACCCTGGCCGACATCCCTAAGGCCATCAGGATCAGCCACCGAGAAGCCTTCCAGGTGGAGAAAAGGCGGCTGGAGCGTAGGACTCGGGCCCACAGCCCAGGCAGGGAAGAGGTGGCCCGTCTGTTTGGAAACGAGCGGAGGTAAGGAGGGGATTAAACGGCTGAACACGTGCACATGCATGCGCGCACACACACACACACACACACCCTTTCTCCTTTCTCACACATGCATTCACAAACTTTCCTTTCTCTCACACACACTCCCTCTTCCCCCAGATACACACATACATTTCTCATACACACACACTTCCTCCTCTCTCACACGCACAGACTTTTTCCTTTTACTCTCACGTACACTCTCCCTTGCACTTATACACAGTCTCACAGTCTCCCTCTCCTCCCACTCATATACACACACACTTTTCTCCTCTCTCTCACACACACTCACAGACTTTCTCCTTTCTCTCTTACATTCTCTCCCTTGCACATTCACACTCACACATTCCCTCTCTCCCCCACACACATACACTCACTCGCACACTTTCTCCTCTTGAACACACACAGTTTCTTCTCTTTCTCTCACACTCACACACACATTTTCCTTTCACACACACTTCCATACGCGCGCGCGCACACACACACACTTTCTTCTCTGTCACACTCAGATATCCTCTCACACACACTTTATTTCTCTCACTCTCACCCTGTCTCTCACACACTTAGGCACACTCTCCTCTCCCTTACACGCACACACTCTCCCCCATGCACTCACACAATACTTTCTTTCTCACACACACATGCATACCACTTCTCTCTCTCACACACACACCCCTTCTGTCTTTCTATATACATGCACTCTCCCCCATGCACATGCACACACACTCTTCTTTCTCTCACACTTGCTCTCTCTCACACACACACTCTCCTTTCTCTCACTCACACACATTCCCCACACACATGCACATAATTCCTAAACCTTCCCTGAGGAGGCACATTTGTTTTCCGTTTTGGTTCAGAGTGTGTGGAAGATCTTTCCCTTTTGGCCCTGCACCCTAATTCCCCCCTCAACTCAGCCCTTATACCTATATACCCGTTGCCATTGAGTCAATTCCGACTCATAGCGACCCTATAGGACAGAGTAGAACTGTCCCATACAGTTTCCAAGGAACGGCTGGTAAATTGGAACTGCTCACGTTTTGGTTAGTAGCCAAGCTCTTAACCACTGTACCACCAGGGCTCCAACTTAGCCCCTAGTAGCCAGAGTGTAGGGTTTCTCAGCACCCTGAGGCCTAGGTTAGTGCCAGCTGCTTCCTCTAGTGCCTCTGGTACTGGGACCTCAGGGACTTCTGGCTGGATTCACAGCTGCCTGGGCCTGTGGACGGGGTCCTTCCTTCCCAGCCTGCTTCTAACCTGAGATGACCGTGGAGGTGGAGTGGTGACAGGGGCTCCCCTGCCCTTATAGCCTAGGGGTGAGTAAAGGCTCTGAAGGAGATGAAGGCAGAGGACTCGCCCCCTTGGGAGCCATGGAGGAGCTGGGGTAGACTGCAAGTGTGCTGAGTGCCAGGGCCTCACTCTTGTCCCATGTTTAGCTGAGTGGAGGAGGCTGGCTACAGCTGCAGCTTCCTGGGGATAGCTGGGGTTTGGACAGCTGGGCATAGGGCAGGGGCTGAGGGTGCCATCTGAGAAGAGGAACACTCTGTCCCCTACCCCTTGTTCTGCTGGCCCCAACCTCCTTGGAGAGAACTTGGGGCCATCTCTGAGGACCAAAGGATACAATGCCCCTTCACACAGGCGCTTCCACCCTGGGTTTGTGAACTGGCTTTTGCCTCTCTTTGTTTACCTTGGGGACAGGCTTCTTCCATGGCCTGTGGGTAGGCTTCTGGAAGTCCATGAACCCTTGAAATTATTTGAGAGTGTGTATGCACATTTCTCTGGGGGGGGGGAATCTCTAGTTTTTATTAGGTTCCCAAAGAAGTTCTCTGTCCAAAAAAGATGCTTAGGCCTCAGCTCTAGACATCTTCCCAACCGCAGCCTGAAGCCAGGGGCAGAGCAGTGCAGGCTATCAGGAACAGGAGTGACGGCAGCGGGACTCCATCCCCTTGAGAGGCAGGCTAGCTGGAGGGCATTTCTGCCCTGCTCCTTTTCTCCTTACTCCCCCTTACAGTCCACAGCTCACCCAGTCTTTCAGACATCACAGATGGAAAGGACATACGGGTCCTGGGATGCAGTCTCCTTGTTTTGTGTACAAGTCAGCAGAGGTCCAGAACAAGGAGCTATGTCCGGAGTTGTCTATCTTGAAAGAGAGGAGAGCAGAGCGTGCCTCACTCCTGGGGAGAGGAATAGGAAGTTGAGTGCTGCTGAGGGCCTGGAAGGCACTGTGTGAGCTTTGGCCATGTGTATAGCTCCTCATCACCCTGGTTGGCACCTGGCACCACCTCCGCCATTTTAGAGACATAGAGCCAAGGCTCAGATGTAGGGTGACTGGTGTGCAGCTCCGAAGCCTGCACACAGGGCTGAAACTGGTTGATCCTGGCCAGATCTTGGCTGGAAGTTCCTGCTACTACGAAACAGCCCAGGACAGGGGCCAGGGGTTCCTCTAAGCAATTGATATAAGTCATGGGGCCTGCTGGAGCTCTCAACAGCCCAAGGGGACAGGCAGGGGGCTGTGTGCCGCAGGGGCTCCTGGGTGGGGTTGCCATGTCCTGGTTTAGTGCCATGCCGAAGAATTAATATTCAACACGTGCCTGCTTGGCTTGGCTGCTCCTCGGGAGCATCCATTTTGAATTGTTCTTTCTAGTGGCCTGTGATAGATGAAATCTCGGGGCTTTGCTCCCTGCATGCTTTTTGCCACCATGGAATGGATTTTTAACTGGTGTTGGAACCCCTGGAACCCGGCAGCTCTGCACTAAGCTCATCATGTCACTTTCTTATTGACCCCGATGACTTCTGATTGGCTGCTGTCACTTCCTGAGGCCTTCCTGAGGGATGGTGGCTCAGCCAGATGGCCCAGGAGCTAGGCCGCCGAGACAGCGAGTGTTTCTCTGATCGCACATGAGCCCGGCTGGCTGGGCTGCTCAGACTCTCACCAGGTCTCTGCCTGTCGTTTCTTGGGCAGCAAGTCGCTGCTGATGGCTCTGTATTGGCAAGCAGTGGTACTGGTGGAACTGCTTGTAACTGACAGGCAGGGCCAGCTCCCCACAGGAGTCCCAGAACCAGGGAGGCTGGGCTGGGGCAGGGGTACAGTGCCATGTCCCCGTGCCTACGGCCAGCTGTGAGGCCTTTGCTGTTGTGCTTGCAGTGCCTCAAGGGAGTCATGCTAGTAACTCCCTCTTGACAGGATTTTATGGCTGACTGTCCCAAGCTTGTGGTCTTGGTGGACAGAGCACCTCCCGTGTAGAGGCTGTTGGAAGTGCCCCTCCCCTCCTCTCCCTCTCTGCAGCCCTGCAGCAAGTGACTTGTCTCACTGTGCAGTGCCTCCCTGCTTTCCTGGGCTTTTCTGAGCACCACTGTCAGGGGGCTCATACAGAAGCAGCACAGAGCCCTTTCAGTATGCTGGAATCTTCTCCACATCTCACCAAAGTGTTCAGGATGTGGCCAACCAGCCAAAGCATCTGCCAGAGCTTTTCCCTGGTGCAGGAACTCTAGCAGCTTCCTTAGCTTCCTGCACTATCCCATCCTCTGGCTCCTTTCCCTGCTCCCGCCCCACCTCACTGCTGTATTGATTGCTTGCTTGTATCCTGAAGAGCTGTCAGCCTGCTTTAGGCTCTGAGTTCTACCCTTCAATGTTTTGCCTTCCTTGATGAAAATAAGAGAGAAGGTTTTACTAAAGCTTACCCTCCCTGAGAAAAAGCTGGCCTCTTGTGGGGGGGTCTCAGAATCTGAGCCCGTTTCCTCTCATCTTCCCTTTAGAGTTCGTTTTTACTCTCGTGGGCCCATGGGCCCTTCACTCTGCCTCCCTCAAGTCTTGCCACTCATCTATAGTGGGCACCCCATGAGGCGTTGTGCAGGAGAGAGCTTGCTGCTGGTGCTTGCGCTGCCCAGGTGTCCCTTGGAGAGCAGGCCTGTCTGATGAGGAGCTACGCCAGCAGATGCTGAGTCCCCAGCCCCTGGGCAGTTGAGGGACACCAGTGTGGGACCGGGCCCCAGGCCAGTCCCTCCTTCCATCCCCCATCAGCCCCCGCTGCCCAGAGGTGATCTCAAGACCATGATGTACGTGATGGTGGTTCCCCTTTCCTGCGATCACCTCAGGTTTTGTTTCTTTAGTTCTCCGAATGATTTTGGTTTGCCATTATTTGATTTTTTAAAACGGTTCTTTTTCTGTGTATTCATTTTCCAGCCTTATTTTCTTCCAGGTCTTGTCCCTCTCCACCTCCTCCTGCTGTGTCGCTGTGACGTTACTCGTCCTTCCTCCGCCTGCTTCGCTCCCATCTCAGCTCCGTCTCCAGCAGTAGACAACCTGATGATGCCGCCAGCCTTTTCACATGAAATCAACCTGCTTTTTTTGTTTTGTTTTAATTTGGTTTTTGATTCTTTTCACTATTGGCAGAAATAGTTTTAATTCATGGGCCTTTTTCTTGCTAAATTTTGGGTGCCCAGGGGTGGGGACTGCATCATGGTCTGTTGACGAATGGCAGTGGGAACTGAAGCTGTTTCCCCTCTGAGGTGGCGGTGGCCTCTTGACTGTGGGTGTGGTCAGGAGAGGGTGCTGGGTGACCAGCTGTGCAGTGTCCATGTGTGATCACATCAGCCTCTGGGGGCTACGGGGCAGGGGCAAGGAGAGGTATGGCGGGGGATGGCCTCACCCCTGAGATGCTGCCAGCACCCTTGTAACCCCTCCCTTAGCAGTGAGGGGGCGGAGGGTCAGAGGTGGGCCCTCCACGGTGTGCCCTGAAGCCCACTTGGGGCTGTTGTGCAGAGAGGCTCAGCTGGGGCTGGCCAGAGTGAGGGTGTCAGCAAAGAAGCATCTCCTCAACTCTAGGCCAGACCATGTGGGGACTGGAGAAGCCCCATCTCCATCAGCAGCCTCTGCATCCTCTTCTGCAGGAGGTCCCAGGTGATTGAGAAGTTTGAGGCCTTGGACATTGAGAAGGCGGAGCACATGGAGACCAGTGCGCCTGCTGGGCCCACACCAACCAGTGACACTCGCCAGGGCCGCACCGAGAAGAGGGTGTTTCCCAGGAAGCGGGTAAGCTTTCAGGGCTTCATGGTGACATTCAGGGCATGGTCGTTACATGCTCTCAAGGCCCTTGTTACCTTGCTGTCAAGGCCATGCCCAGCCCATGACTCAAGCCATCTCGCTACTCCAATCCCCTCCAGGCCCACCTGGGATGGCCCACCTGTCCTGCTTCTGCTGGACTCCCCTTATTGTCTCATAGTTACTTGTTTCTGTCTCTGGTCTTTTTCTCAAGTGAACCTCTTGAGGGCAGGGATTGTCTTCTGCATCTTCATGCCAGAACTTCATCCATTTTTGCAGAAGTATGTTCTAATGAGGTTTAGATCCCAAGTTGTATCTAGAATCTTCTCTTCCTCTCTGAGGCGGCCCCAGCAATAAGGCTGAATAAAACTTGCTTCCTCTTTCTTTTGAGGGGCAGCCATACCCCCATTTCTCTACTCACCCACAAGGGAGAGTCAGCTCTGCTGTCCTCCTCCTGGACAGCCCACCCTCTTCTGCAGCTCCTGCCTGTCTGGTTTTCCTCCTCCCTCCGCTGGCTTCTCTCTTCCTTGTACGAAGCACCAACGTGCAGGGGACAGATAGCCTCCACCAGGCTATGCACCAGCCGCTCACATCCTTGTCTGTCCGCTGCCACAAATCCAGGTTGATCCTTCTGGGATACTGAGACGATAGAGGCTGGGAGTGGTTGGGGCGGGGAGCAGGGGTGTGACGATGATGAGCGCATCTGAAGGGAAGGACTGCTCTGAAGATGAGGGATTTCAGAACCCTGCAGCATGTGGTGGGGGGGCACTGCCAGAGTCCAGGGCTTGGGTCCTTGTGCCAGCTCTGCCACGGGCTTGCTCTGTGACCCTGGACAGATCATCCTCTTCTCACCCTCTGGGTACCTTGTGGAGCCTCCTGCCTAGACACACGCTGGCCAAGCTGCTGCAGGCCCCCAGCCTGGGACCAGATGTCCCCCAGGCTTGGGCTACACTGACCAGCGCTGCTCTTTGCCACAGGACCTCACTGCTGAAGCCCCTACAGCCCCGCTCCTAGACGTGCCAGCTCCCCCCCTGTCTCCACACCGAAGAGCCAAGTCACTGGACAGGAGGTCCACGGAGCCCTCCATGACGGTGAGCCCAGCTGGCACCCACACACCGGGCCCTTGGAGCTATGCACCTGCCTCTCTGCCCTCTGGCCCTGTCTGTCTCTGTCCATGCTTCAAGCACCACTTCACACACCTAGCCCAGCTGCCAGCTCACGAGACTCGGGAGCAGACCCTAGAGTGGCCAAACTGCTTTTCCCTCTTCTGGTCCTGGCATAGCCAGGGGGACCCATGGAGGTATCCTGAGCTCTGCAGAAGTGTGCTGTGAGGAAAGCCACCTTGGCCACCACAGGAGAATCCTGACTCCAAGCCAGGACAACAGCAGGGAGCCTCTGCTGGACTCTGTTGTTTGCCTTTGTGCTGTTTTGGAGGCAGGAGCCAGTTTGTACTGGGAGCTTTTGTGCCACTCCCTGGGTCTCCACCACAGGCCGGAAAGCAGGTCTTTGCTCCAGATTTCACTTGTTGAGGATGTGGGCTCTTCCTTCGCCTTCCTCCACCGTAGCAGGTGTGTCAGGCAGAGCACAGTCAGATGGCAGATCCGGTGAGAGCGGGGCAGGGTGGCAGAGGCCTGGGGCACAGCCCTGCTTCCTTGGAGGAAAGCCTGTTCCCTCCGCTTTGCCTTCAGCCTCTTAAGGAGACTGGAGCCTGTTGACCACACTCCCCGCCCTCTCTCTGCTGCCTGCACAGTGGCACACCGTGGACCTCTGCCCAGCCCAGGGCCAGCAGCTCCCAGCTGCAACAGGCTTTCATAGGGCCACAGAGCAGGGGCAGGAAGGCTTCTTACCAGGAGGAGGCTTGGTTTTTCCTTTAGCCTAGGTTTTTGCTCAAGAGTTTGCAGCAGAGGGCCCCAGAACACTGTTGCTAGCTGTTGTCCTCCCATTTCTTAACTATTCTTTCTAACTGCCTCCCTGTCCTTGGAGCAAAATGATGTCAAAGCCAGTTTCTGATGAAGACGGCTCTAGAAAAAGAGAGTACCTGGGGCCAGAGGAAGGCTGGTCCGTGTCTCGTGGGACACAGGGCCTCACACAGGCACCGCATGGCAGACAGGGGCATCAGCTCCGACGGACATGTGGGCAGAGCAGGTGGTGGCTCAAGTGGGCCTGACGAGTCTTTCTCCTGTGTGGCTGCTCCGCGGGCTGGGCTTGTGCATCTGGGAACAGAAGGAGGTGTGCAGCACAGGGGAGGCAGGGAGGAGACAGCCCACCGCTATCTGCTCTCTTGGTGCTGCTTCCTATAGGGAGAGGGAGACTAACATCGTGATGGGTCGGAGGCCCAAGTCTTGGCAGAGCTGTGCCACCCCCGCCTGCTGCGCAGCTTCTGCCTCCAGCGTCAGCTCTCAGTCTTCCTGTGGCTTCTTCGAGAGAGCTTCTAATTCTCCCTTCACACATCCTTGCAATGTTCCCCTTCATTGAAGCTGCTCAGTTATTCTCTCTGCCTGAGCCCCACTCTTCTCGGCCTCCTGGTGTGTCATACCCACAGCACCAGCAGGCCTCAGCGAGGGGTTTCTTTGAGAGCAGCTGTGGCCACTGCTGCCCACGGGGCGCCCATCTCTCCTCTTCAGGGCATCAAGGCCACCCACGCCTCCTCTCTCAAGACACGTGTGTGGTGGGTGCATCCAGGTGGCCAGGGTCCCCTTCTTGGTGCCCCCCACATCCAGACAGAAACGTACGTGTGCCCTCTCAGGCGCCCCTTTTCCCACAACCTGAACACCATGATGTTTTCCTCTGAATGGTTCTTTTTTCTCTCTTCCTCAGCCCGACCTGCTGAATTTCAAGAAAGGCTGGCTGACCAAGCAGTATGAGGACGGCCAGGTGAGTGGGGGGAGCTGGGGTCACCCTGAGGGCATCTTCTTCCGGGTCAGCTCTCTTGAGCGTGGGGCTTTATCTTCCTACCTCAGCATGTCACCTTCTCTCATGCACCAGGACTATGACTGAGACCCCCTCCTCAGACAAATGGAGGTGCTCAGCCCCAGGCCTCTGTTTCTGCAGCGAGCAGGGCTCTGAGAAGCACCAGGACAGGATCTCCGCTTCAGGCCATGGTGACATGCTTCAGCGTTAGCCCCCCAACCTGGCAATCTGTCCTGAATGTTCTCGAGGGGCCCAGTTTCTCATAGCAAGGAAAGCCTCTGGTAGTGGAGTTGGCTGTGTTTCTGCACAGGCAGCAAAGTGAGCAGCAGCCTTAGGCTGTGAGACTCTTGTCTCAGAGAGAGCAGCTTCTCTGCAGTGGTGCCATCAGGCCCCAGAGGAATGGGTGTGACCTGTTCTTGCCATAAAACCCAAGAAGGAAGAGCCATCTGCAGGTGGACCTGACATCCCTGACTTTGATCCTCAGCTGCTCAGCCCCCCAGGAGGAGTGAAGAGGCACCTGCTGGTCCCTACCTACAAGGCCTGTAGAAACCCCTCCCTCGTGCAGCCACTCCTGCTTCCTGGGCAACTGCAAACATACTCTTTCCTCCATATCACATCCCCTTGGCTGTGCCTGGAGAGCCATGTCTCCCTCTTTCCCACTCACAGTGAAGACGGGAATCTAGCTGGTCTGTCTGCTCCTGCCAGCTGCAGGTGGGCACCTGTCTCTGAGTGGCCAGGTCACTGTGGCTCACAGGTGCAGTTACACTCCTCACCGTCCCCTGTCATTTCTGACAGGCCAGCCCACTGTCGACACCTGGAGTTTAGTTTGAGGATCACTAAGCCCTGCGCACTTGCGCATACCTGTGGGCTCAAGCACCACGCAGAGAGGAGCCGCAGCTTCGCCGGCACCCAGGGCATGAGTGCATGGTTGCCTGCCCTCTGCAGAGTGTCCTCTGCCTGCTGCCAGCCACACGCAGGAACCCTGGCTGTGGGCAGCCTCGGAGCAGGAAGGATGCTGCCTGGTAGTTGAGTCTTTTGTTCTCCCTTGCAGTGGAAGAAGCACTGGTTTGTCCTGGCAGATCAAAGCCTGAGGTACTACAGGGATTCAGTGGCTGAGGAGGTGAGTGTCCTGATGTAGCCTCTATGTGAGGGCAGCTGAAGGGTCCAGGCTACCCCAGGGGTCCTGAGACTCCCAGTGCCACTGCTCTCTCCCTCTCTGTCCATTGGAGGGTATCAGTGTTGCAGCCTTGGCTGTTCTGTCCAGAGCTCGCAGGGAGTGAGCACAGCACGGCCACATTTGGCATCCTGTGATACCTCTGCTGGGTGCTCAGCGCACTCCAGGACCATGTTAGGTGTGTTGTGACTACCCTATTGAGTGCTCAGCTCACTCCAGGACCAGGCTAGATATCCTGTGACTGCTGAGTGCTCAGCTCACTCCAGGACTGTGTTTGGTGTCCAGTGTGGGCTTTCAGTGGCTCTCCTTCTGTCCCCTGAGCACTCTCAAAATGTCTCATTTTGAAACTCAGGTTTTATGGGGAGTTGAGTCATTGGAAGAATTGACAGAGATCCTGTCTGCTGTCTTGTGGGTGAGGATGGGCCATGGCAGATGAGCTTTTTTGACCTCCTTGACAATTCTCATTCCATTCTTGGAGACCAGCTGAAAGGGACTCTTCTTTTTTTCACGTATAAACAACAATCTTTGGCAAGTCTGGGTTCCTCGCTTTGTCCATCTTTGAGGTTGCTCAGGGGTCCTTCAGCTGTACTCCCACATAGAGGAAGATCTGTACACCAGGCTAATCTGTCCTGCATCACTTGTAATAGCAGAAAATTGAACACTCATCATTAGGGGACTGGTTAAATGTACTTACATACTCTGAACCTCAAAAACACTAAGCTCTTTACAGACTGTAGTGGAAAGATGTGTTCATGGTAGAAGAGAAGTGTAGAATCATGTGAGCGGCTGCCACTATTGATGTCTAAAATCAGAGAATAAAGGTGCGTATGTAAGCATTGGCTTGTATATGCATAGAACAGCATTTCTCAGAGCAGGGTCTGTGGGTTTCCGGGGGTCCCTGAGAGCCTTCCAGGGGCTCTGGGGAGGTCAAAATGAGTTTTGTAATGCCAAGGTGGTGTTCACTTGTACTGTGTTGACACTTGCACTGATAGTACAAGAGCAGTGATAGGTAGACTACTACTACCTTAGCAGGAATCAAGGCAGTGGCATTGAGCTGTACGAGCATTCTTCAGGGCTACACAGTAGCAATTTTAAAATGTTGGTTGCACGTAAGAGCGTCCTTGACGGAGCAGTAGAAGGTATGATTTTATTAGGTCTCAACGTTTGATTACGCATCAGTCTGTGTGACAAAATGAGGAGTGAGCGCGAGTCACTTGTGTAGCCTTGCAGGAAGCTCTGCACGAGGGCTCACCTTGCTAGCTGAACTGGCATCTTTGCTTCATGGAGCACTGTCATGGATTGAATTGTGTGCCCCAAAAATATCTATCAACTTGGCTAGGTCCTGATTCCCAATATTGTGTGATTGTCCATCATCTTGTGTGATTTCGCTATGTGTGTATCACTATGATGTAATAAAAAGGATTAGCAGCAGTTATATTGATGAGGTCTGCAAGATTAGGAGGTGTCCTAAGCCAATCTCTTTTGAAATATAAAAGAAAGAAGTGAGCAGAGAGACACAGGGACCTCATACCACCAAAAAAGCAGTGCCAGGAGCAGAGCGCGTCCTTTGGACCTGAGGTTCCTATGCTGAGATGCTCCCAGACCAAGGGGAGACCAATGCCAAGGACCATCCTCCAGAGCCGACAGAGAAAGCCTTCTCCTGGAGCCGGCGCCCTGAACTCGGACTTGTAGCCTACTAGACTGTGAGAGAATAAATTTCTCTTTGTTAAAGCTATCCACTTGTGGTATTTTTGTTATAGCAGCACTAGATAACTAAGACAAGCACCATCTTCACTTAAAAGAAAAACTGACAGGCTGTGGTCATTCACATTTGGATATTTGACAGTTTTTTGAAAATGCAACAAGGGACCTAGCCTGTTCCTTGAAGGAAAACATCTGAGTATTTGTTGCCAGTGATACAATTTGAGCTTTCAAGCAAAAAACAGAATTTTGGAAAACTGGTATTTACCATCATGAGCTCGACAGCTTCCTTTTACATAAAGACTTCTCTGACGTGATTTTTTTGACATTGTATAATGAAATGTGTCAACATTTGGGAGATCTGCAGCATAACTCAGTGAACCAGTGTGTTCCCAATGACTAACACTTAATGTTACAGAGTCATACATGGGTTAAAGACACACTCCAAGGGCAGATGAAGACAGCAGGGTTTAATGTAACCAAGTGTGGAAAGTTCATTGATACGACTTCAGGTTCCACATTGCAGTTAACCTTTAAGAAACTACCACTTGTCAAAGAAGACTAGCCACAATTATCTGAAAAGGCCATGAAAATACTCCTTCCTTTTGCAACTACATCTGTGTGAGGGCCAGATTTCTTCATGCACTTCAACTAAAACATGTATTGCACGGACCGAATGCACAAGCAGACTTGAGAACCCAGCCATCTTCCCGAAGTCAGACATTGAAGAGACTTGCAAAAAATGTCAAACAGTGCCACTCTGCTTAGTAATTTTATTTATTTGTTTATTTTGCTTTGGGAAAATGATCCTTTTTCATAAAAAAATAAAATGGATTTAGTTTTATTCTTAAATGAAAAAATAATTGTTTAACATTTTCCCATTTTAATTGCTAATATGATAGCTGTCGCTACAGGTAGTCCACAACTTACAGAGGGGTTCCGTTCCAATGACTCTTTCATAAGTCAGTTCTGACATAAGTCAAATGCCTCATTTTTTTTTAGTTTTCATTATTATTGCCTTTTACTGTCAGTATCTATAAATCTGATCTTTATTTGTCTTTGGGGATTGGAAACATTACATATAAACTTACAGATATATTTTAACATTGTATATAGTACATATTACTAACGATAAGATGTACAAAAAAAAAAACAGTCATAAGTGAGGTTCATCATAACTCAAATACGTGTAAGTCGGGGACTACCTGTAGATAAAAGCCACATAAACAAAGTCTTTGGAGTCCTCACTAATTTTTAAGGATGTGAAGGGTTCTAACACCAGCATGTTTGAGAACTGCTGACGTGGACTGTCTGGCAGGACACATGGGGAATGGCCATGTGGATGTCTCAAGGGAGGAGACTGGAGAGTGGGGAAAGGTGGTAGGAAAGGCCTCGTGCTCACACGTGTGAACGTACATACCTATCAAAAAGAAAGTTAATGCAGGACATTGCTATGGAAATTGGCTCACACAGGCACTGACTTAAGATCCTTGCATTTTTCTCTGCAGGCAGCTGACCTGGATGGGGAAATTGACTTGGCTACGTGTTACAGTGTCACTGAATATCCAGTCCAGAGAAACTACGGCTTTCAGATACACGTACGCACACTGGACAGGGCTTGGAGACAGACTTGGTGTGGAGGTGGGAAGACATGGGCTTGACTGTCAGAGACGGCAGGGACATTTCTCCTGGGAGCCTGATGTCCTGGTTCCAAGGACACCCCTGGGCAAGCCAGCTTCCTCCTCGTGTTTGCTTGGCTTCATTCTTTCCCATTAGTGTTGACTCTTATGTCCCGTCCCTTCTCCATCCTGTGGCCCCAACCCCCACCCCAAGTCGTGATCAGAACCAAAAACTAAACACAGCATCTTTCTTCTTAAGATTGTTTAGAGGCTTTTAGTTGCTAAAGATTTTTTCTTTAATCTTGGAGTTTGGGACAGTTGGAAGGATGTGAGATAAGGGGAATCAGAATGAAAATGTTTATTAGTTATTTAAATCTCAGAGTACTAGGTTTTTATTCATTTATTCATTCAATCATTCATTCATTCATTCACTCGCTCACAAGTCTTCGTTGTTTCCCAAAATCTTGTGAGGGACTCGATGATGAGCAAGGCGTAACCCCTACCCTCAAAGAAGTAATCTGATTGGGCAAGTAAAGTGTGTCCTTACTGGTCTTTTGTCAGCACTGTGGGTTGAGAGCCTTCAGAGCCTGTGACAGGTGGGGGTTAGCTTGACGGAGACACGCGTTTGGGGCTGGGACTTGGCTTTAACCTGAGCCTGGAACCCTGGTGGGGCACCTTTCTTTTGTGTGCCTAGAAACCAGTGGCATTGCTAGGGGAGCATGAGGGGTGTGAACCGCACTGGGTGACACTGTCAGGGGGGTGACACCTAAATGACTGTCTATAAAATTTTTGTGCAGTGTTTTAGCAGAATTTCATTATTTTTCATAAAAATATCCCTGTAGTTACAACAACAAAAACATTTTTCATAAGCCTAGTTTACATGTATCAATATACCTACAAGGCTAAAATTCTATGCTAATTTACTTTTTGAACCTTCAGTGCACTCCGGTCAGAGCTGTCATTATTACGCAGTTACAATGACAGTTCGAATCATGTGGGCGTGTGCTATTGTTTTTGCTGCTGCGGGTGTTTTTATAGTCGCTGATTTTGTCAAATTTTCTGGTGTTTTAGCTACAATATTGTGGCAATTAGTATTTGTGAACCTATATCAATAACTTTTTTGAGAATGAAGTAGTAATTAAAGGAAAAGAAGGAGTGATACATGGGAATTATGATTCATGAGTAACATGAGTACAAAAAACATTACTAAGGATTCTGTGTGGTCTGGTATGGGAGGAGGTCCATCCAGGGTGGGGTGGGGGTGGGGGGGCGACACCATGAGCTATGGCAATGGGTGACACCAACCCTAGGGACGCCACTGCCAGAAACTCCATCATATTGCCATATTCTGAGTCAAACAGACACCCTGGGACTGGCTCTTGGTAACCAGACTTAGAGGAAACCGAGGCCCTGGCCAGTGACCAGCGTGTTAACGCTCATGAGGAACTCAGGTGCCAGGCCCACGGGGCTGCCAGACTCCTCCAGCAGGGCCCCTGCCAGGGGCCATGGCAAAATCCGAAGTTTGCCCTCTTCCTCTGTGGGAGGAGTAGACGTGCTGAGTGACCTGGGCCCTGGGCTGCCTCTCTGGCTGCATCGCAGACACAGCGAGTGCTTGCCAGCCAGGCTCCAGGCTGAGATCCCCACCCCTCATCTTGAGTCACAGGTTTCCTTGAGCAGCCAAACTGAGGACGAAAGTGGCCTGTCACCAGGGCAGCTCCCTGCCGTAACAGGTTGCTGCTTGGTTGTTACGGGTCATTTTCTTGCAACAAGGCCACAGTTGAAACATGCAGATCCCATCACCTGCCTGAGAGCACCCTGCGCTCCGTCTCCAGCCTACCCATCGCCCAGCTGCTCCCCCAGCCTTACTCCTCCTAGCTCCACTCCCAGGGACAGGCCTATCCTCCAGGTCTGTTTGAGGGCCAAGAGCTGAGGTGCTGAGGCCAGGCAGAGCAGGACCACCAAAGCTCAGAACGCAGAGCTGGGGCCTGGCTATTGTTCTGAGGTTGTAGAAAGTGGCTGGAATGTGTCACAGACATGAGGCAGCAAGCCTTAGGAAGCTGCTATCCAGCAGGGTGTGCAGGTGGCTGGAAAGGAGGTGAAGGTTGAGGTAGGGAGCCAGTTAGGTGGATGCAGGGGTGGGAAAGGGGAAAAAGGAGTGGCTATGAGGGACCTATGGAGGAGGTCAGCCACAGCACTGACCAGATGAGGGAGGGTGTAGTCAGGGAGACGGTTGCTCACTGGCAGAGGAGAAAAGGAGCTGGAGCTGGGAAAGAGCACTGGCTGGAGGTGAGAAGTGAGGTCATGGGAGAGCATACAGAGCACGCAGTCAGACCAGAAATGCCTACATCGGGAGGACAGAGTGTGCAGGAGGCCAAGGGCCATCTGAGGGCCACCCAAGGGCCACCCGAGCCATGTCCCACCCTCATCTTACACGGGAACTCAGGCTTCAGAGAGAGTGTGGCAGCTCCTTCAGCATGGGGTGAGGGATGCTCGCTGTGGGCTGCTGGTGGAGGCACAAGGTGGATGAGGGCAGCGCCAGCTGGCATGTTGTGTGCACCAGACAGGTGAGCTCTCTTGTGTGTGAGCCTGTCCCAAACCGTCATCAGGACTCTCTCTTCACATCAGCTGACTCACACTGGCTTGGCTCATAGGTCCCTTTACAAGTCGCCTGAGCAGCTGAAAGCACAGCACTGAAGCTGTCACGGGTTAGACAAGGCTGAGGCCGTAGGTGCAAAGCCTCGAGATTGGTCCCCGGAGTGCTGAGCTGGGGGCTGGCTGTTGTTCTGAGAGCCGGGGGCCACACCCTCCTCACTCTCTCACCCTCACTGCCAGTCCCTACGAGTCTCTCGCTTTCTGTTTCTGCTCCCCTGTCTACTGCTGGCTGGCTGAGATGTCTCCCAGGTAGAGCTGAATGAGCCATTGTCCAACCAGATCTGACCCCAGCCACAACCACTGTGCCCCGCCTGTCCCTACAAAAGGCCCCACCAGCCCCAGCTCACCCCAACTGGGGTCAGGAGCTGCCCTGGGGGTCCTTCCCTTCCCTCCCATGGTCTGTCAATCACGGAGGCCTTTTGTTCCACCTCCTTTACTCCTCGTGAACTGCCCCTTCTCTGTCACTACTGCCTCAGTATGACAACCACAGCCCTGACTGGCCCTGCCTGCCAAGCCTCGTATTCTGCCTCTTTCTCTCTCCCTTGTCACCCCACGCACTGAATGTGTGTGTTCCAGAAACTGCCACGTTGTTGCATGGTGCCATGCCCTCATAGTGCACCCTGCCTGGGACATGCGTCCACTTCCACGTCCACCTGCCAACCCTTTGTCAAGCCACGGGACCCAGCCCCACACCACTCTCTGTTGTGACTGCTCACCACTGCTGATTGCACACGCGTCTTACTGCGCCGTCCCTGTGACCGCCCCTCCCTCTGTAAGCCCCAGAAAGGGATGGCCGCATGGTCTCTTGTCTGTTCTCAGCACAGTATCCCAGATGGCTCTCAGTTGATGTCTGGCGGACCCTACTGGAGAGGAGATCTTGGGTGACTGTTGAAGAGGTGCACAGTCTCCCTGTCCCTGCTGTCCACCCGACGTGCACATGGAGCTCCTGGCAGGGCTGCCTTGCCTAGCCATGCCCCCTGCAGGACTGCCAGTGGCGGGGACAACAGACACATTTCAGGGAGTCACTGATCACACCCATCTTTTGTGCAGACAAAGGAGGGCGAGTTTGCCCTCTCAGCCATGACGTCAGGGATCCGGCGCAACTGGATCCAGACCATCATGAAGCATGTCCACCCGACCACCGCTCCTGACGTGACGAGGTAAGCTGGTCCAGGGCCCCGCAGCCAGCCTTCTTTCTTCCTGGTGTCTCCTCGCTCCTCTCCGGAGCACTGACCGCTCCAGCTAGCCTGAGCTTCAGCTCTTCCTAGGCTCATTGTTCTGAGACTTGAGCTTGGAGTCTGTTCTACCCCAGCTCTCTCCTTATCCCCTTCATCCCACCACCTGCTGGCCCTGCTCCACTTCCTCTGGCTTCCTGGTTTTCTGCTTCCAGTTAGCATTCCCTTTCTCAGGCTCAGCCCACTCTGCCATGCTAGGAGTACTGGTGCTGGTACCAGGGTGTACTTCGGCGCAGAGCCTGCCGTCCTTCCTGGGCCCTGGCTTGCTGGCCTTTGCTTGGGTCCACTGGGTGGAGGGCAACCAGCAGGCCTTTCTTTTCCTCTTTTTGCCTCACTGTTACATATATTTGATTTCTATGCAACCAGGAAAGACTTCTCTGAAATTCTGGGTGCTGAAGCCCAGGTTGGAAAACTGTGCCCTCCTGTGTTAACATTCTGTGGTTCGTGCATCTCACGATTGGCTGCATGCCTCCTCCCTCCTGCCCTAAGGTTAGAAACCTGCTTGTTTTCCTTTTAAAAGAGAGAGGAGGAGATTCTGATGTGCTGGGCTGTGCTGTGAAGGCCCAGACCCTGCTTTCCTCGCCTTGGGGCTGCAGTCCCTTCATGTGTTTTGAGAACCTCTAACTTACATTGTAGTCTTTCAGGTGCATTTCTCACGTTGAGGTTAAGCTGAGCAGCGGCAGTGAGGTCAAGTCTGGGTGTAGCTGGTGCCTGCTGGTCACCCTCTCCTTAGCCATTCTGGACCTTTTTCCAAACCCTGCCCCTCCTCATACTGACTCCAGACCACTTTGAACAGAAGTTAAGGAAAGGAAACCTAAATTTTTTTTTTTTTTTAAATGTTATTGTGGTAAAATACATACCAAAACATTTGCCATTTTATACCACCACTGACTGCTCTGACAGGGATTACAATAGAGGGTCCCAGAAAGAGCTGGAGAAAAATGTAGAACAAAATTCTAACTCACAAAAACAGACCAGACTTACTGGCCTGACAGAGACTGGAGAAACCCCAAGAGTATGGCCCCCAACACCCTTTTAGCTCAGAGGTGAAGTCACTCCTGAGGTTCACCCTTCAGCTAAAGGTTAGACAAGCCCATAAAACAAAATGAGACTAAAGGGGCACACCAGCCCAGGGACAAAGACTAGAAGGTAGGAGGGGCAGCAAAGCTGTTAATAGGGAACCCAAGGTCGAGAAGGGAGACTGTTGACATGTCTTGGAGTTGTTAACCAATGTCATAAAACAGTATGTGTACTGTTTAATGAGAAACTATTTGTTCTATAAACTTTCATGTAAAGTACAATTAAATTACCCTTTTAACCATTTTTAGTATAATTCAGTGACATTAATTACATTCACAATGTTGCACAACCACCACCGCCATCCATTTCCAAAATCTTTTTATCACCACAAACAGAAACTCAGTCCCCTTTCAGCAATAATTCTCCTTTTCCCCTCCCCTCAGCCCCTGCTAACACTAATAAACTTTGAACTCTGTGCATTTGCCTATTCTAGACATTTCATTTAAGTGTGATCATACAATATTTCTTCTTTTGTGACTGACTTATTTCACTCTGCATGTTTTCAAGGTTCATCCCTGTGGTTGCATGCATCAGAATTTCATTTCTCTTTATGGCTGAGTAATACTCCATTGTACGTATATACCACATTTTGTTCATCCATTCATCTGTTGATGGACACTTAGGTTTTTTCCACCTTTTGGCTATTATGAATAATGCTACAGTGAACATTGGTGTATAGTGTGTCTGAGTCCCTGTTTTCAAGCCTCTTGAGTATATATCCAGGAGTGGGATTGGTGGGTCATATGGTAATTCTATGTAGCTTTTTGAGGATGTTAATTCTTTTCTTTAATCTTTTTTCCCTGTATTTATCGGCATCATTTGTTTATTCCTTCATAGAGTACTAAGTGGTTCCTGAGTCAATAAGACCAGGAGATTGTGGCAAGGACAAGCCCCCTGTTTTTCATCTCTCAGAGTTCCTATTAGAGGATTGACTCATCCATTAGTGGGCGCCTTCTCTGTGCACGGCAATGCAGGAAGGGTACAGTGATGAGCAGACTCGATGTTCCATGGCTTTCTCCAAGTCTGGCACAGAGGCAGAAGCTCTACCAGCTGGACACCTTTTCTGAGCACTGTTAAGATGCCCCTGTAGCAAAGCAAGAGTGGGAATTGGGCTTCTCTGCCAAGGCTGTTGGCAGCAGAAGAAGCCTGCGAGGTGGGCTCTGAATACACAAGGGCCAGACAGTCTTGCGGGGGGCTTGGGGTCCCCCCTGCAGCATAGTGCCCTTGCTCCCTGGTAGGGGCCTTGCTCTGTGTGGTGAGTCTAGGGTCCTGGCTGCAGGACGCGGGCCCTGAGATCATCAGCTCTAGTACATCACTGGACAAGTGCGTCTATGGCCTCAGAATGCTGTGTACTCAGGAGCTCAGAGAGGGAACGGGGCCCCACACTTGCTCTCCTGTTCGCCCACTCTCAGCAGGTGCTGGAGGTCACAGCAGTGAACAAGACATGTCTCCTACCTCAAGCAGGCCAAACACTATACAAAGGTTGATTCAGTAGTTACCTCCCTGACTAGAACTGACTGCTTAATCTAGTGTGTCTTAGATTGAGTACTGAGTGCACCTCCCCCCATTTGTTCTCAGCCTTTGTCCTTGTTCTTTGTTGGCGTTTACTATTTGAGGAAAACAGGAACTCTTTAGTGCTGCAAGGCCCAATCCCAGGAAGCTATTACAAACAGAAAAGTGTCAAAATGCACAGGCGCTTGACCCACATGTTCGGCCTTGTTGTGCGTCTCACTTACTCTTTCCGTATTGGGCTGAGGAGGTTGCTGCCTGCTTTCTGCCTTTGGGGCTGGAGGTGCCTCAAGGAGTAGACTTGACCTCCATGGAGAGCAGAGGCCCTCATTCCGAGGCCATTCTTCAGTCAGCACTGGTGGAAGGTGGCCTGTCCCAGCGAGGAGGACCATGTGTGTCCTAGTACTCTGTACAGCTGTCAGCTGGCCGGCTCTGGTTCATGGTGGGCCGTGCTTAGATCATTGTCATTCAGATATAAGTATAGTCTCAGGTGGAAGTTTGCAGACCTAGTAGCCCTGAAGCACTCTGATCTGCTTTAGCACACTGCTGGGACTGGACCTTAAGCAGAGCCTCTTTCTTTGGCCCCACCCTAGGCCTTCCCTCTCCCCAGGAGGCTTCTAAGTCTCCTCTGAGGGTTCGGATGAGACAGAGACCACACTCTTAAGCCTGGTGCTGGCTGGGGTCTCCTGGAGCCTTTCCACAGGGCCTGGAGACTGCTGCCCCAAATCTGTACCTAGCCTCCTTGCCAAATCACCAGTAAAATGATGCCTCTGCCCCACCTCTTCTCAGGTTGGGTTCTCTTCAGGGATCCGTGCTTGTGAGCAAGTTAGACAAAGGCAACTCTATCCCCAAACCCACCATGGGCAGGCATGCAGGACCCAGCCTGAGGCACCTCACCTGGTGTCCTAAGTCATCTCCAGCCCTCCCTCCCTCACCTCCCTAGTGCACTTGGGTGCCAGGTTCTACCAAGTTGTCTTTTAAAGCTCTGGCTCTCCTTGCATCCCCTCAGCCACTGTGTGGTGGGGCTTGTGGGATCAGCTGGGCCATCTCACTCACTCATAAATGGTCTTGAGCCACTCCTTTTGACCTGTTTTCATGTCAGCAGCCAGAGTGGTTTTGAAATCATAGATTTGATCATGCTGCTTCCCTGCTTGGTACCCACCCACCACCACCCACCTGTGAGAAAAGTCCTCCCCTTGGTCCCTTCTTGGGAAGTAGCTGTTTTTCCTTCACTCTGCCACCACTGCCCAGTATAGGATGCCACGGAGATGGCTGGCCTCACCAGGAGTGTGAGTGGCGGCCATGCCCGGCGTGGCCTGCGAGGCGCTCCACTGTGGTCTAAGCAGGGACGGCCAGGCTCATTCTTTCCCCAGGGGCCTGCTGTCATCTCCACAGAGCTTCGTCTCCTCTCTCTCCACTCTGGGCAGCAGGGCCACTGTGATGCTTTTGTCACAGTGTCCACCTGGATCCCCCAGATTGGAACTCTCTGGACTGGCTGTGGCTCCTCCTGTCCCTTAACCCTCCCTACTCAGAGCCAGATTTGAATTCTCAAGGAAGTGGCCACCAGGCAGAAGGGTAGAAAAGGCACGTGAGAGCTGGGCACTCCCTCTGCTGGCTCCTGACAGCCCCGATGCACCTGTATCTTTGTATAGTACAAGGTAGTTGTTACTAAGAGCCAATTAACAGGTGCTGTGCCCCTCTTGTTCCACCAGCTCGTTGCCAGAGGAGAAGAGCAAGAGCGGCTCCCCTGAGACCTGCCCCAGGCCTAGCGAGAAGCAAGAGAGCGACCCGGGGGAGCCGGACCCTGAGCAGAGACGAAGCCGCGCTCGGGAGCGGAGGCGCGAGGGGCGCTCCAAGACCTTTGACTGGGCCGAGTTCCGCCCCATCCAGCAAGCCCTGGCCCAGGAGAGGGCTGGTGCCACAGGGCCCTGTGATGCCCAGGAGCCCGGGTGCCCTGAGGCAGACCCAGGGGAGCTGGAAAGGGAGCGCACCAGGCGCCGGGAGGAGCGCCGCCGACGCTTTGGGGCACTTGACACTGTGGATGGGCCTGGGGGCACAGATGACGCCATCTTGCGGATGGAGGTTGACCGGAGCCCAAGTCTACCTGTAACCTCAGACCTCAAGACACAGAGTGTCCACGTGGAGATTGAGCAGCGCTGGCATCAGGTGGAAACAACCCCTCTGCGGGAAGAGAAGCAAGTGCCCATCTCCCCACTGCACTTGTCCCCTTCCGAGGACGGAAGCAATCGGCTCCCCACACATGAGCTGACATCTTTGCTGGAAAAGGAGGTAACAGCAAGGGTGGGTACGTGCCTGGGGAGTGGTGGGCACTCGGCACTCAGACACCTTCGCTGCTGACAGTATAGGCAGCCACAGTGCTGAGGAGGAGGATGTGCAGACAGCTGGAGAGACAGACAACTGAGCAAGTCCTCACAGTGCCGTGTGAGGGCTCATCAGGAGAGGTGTAAGGTGGGGAGGGGCACTGCTGACCTTAGAGCCAGAAAAGGCTAATGGGGTGCCAGGCCGGGCCCGGGGTTGCAGCACCCACCACCCAGTCACAGGGTGGAAACGGAGCAGTGACATGATCAGATCCAGGTTTGGGCTGCTTGAGGTAGCATGGATGGGACTGGCTGACACTGGCAGAGACAGCCAGGACACTTTGGGCTGGTCCTGGTGGCCTGGATGAAGGGGTGGGGTTAGGACAACGGCAGGATTCTAAATGTTTAGGATGCAAAACTGAAGGCGTGACCATGGGTGGAAGTGGTCAGCGGAGATTGCCCTGGTGGGCGTGGTAGCTAGGTGGGTGATTCTCTACCACCCTGGTGAAGAATGGGTATGTGCCTCTAGCAGCCAGTCTGGGACCCACTTGAATCCACCTTTTATCATGTGGGTCCTGAGGCTGGCTCCTGTTGGGCCCCCTTGGGGCGTCAGGATGCATAAGCAGTGCCATCTGTGACATAATAAATTCTTGCATAAAAATGTATCCAGAAAACAAATCCACCAGACGTGAACCATGAATAAGTATGTCTTCACAGGGAGTTCCATCGCCAAGGAGCTACACATTATCGTTGCTGTAAAATTCTAAGGCACAATGACATGTATCAGATGTGCTCTTTTACACAACTAGCTAAGGCCAAAGATTTGCCACTTTGCCTAATAACATGTTTAGTGCTTCTGTTCTACCTCCTAGTTCATTGCGTAGTGCCTGGAGTCTTAAACGCTTGCAAGCGGCTGTCCAAGACACGGCAATTGTTCTCTTCACCTGGAGCAACAGAGGAAGGAGAGTCAGGAATAGGAGGAAGATGTGGAATGTGTGGCTAATTGCCTCCGTAAACAACTGCCCTCTTTGCCATGAGACCAGAAGAACTGGATTGTGCCTAGCCACCATTACTGAACATTTTGATCAAACATTCTATAGAAAAATCCTGATCAAAAGGGGGAAAATGTAGAACAGAATTTCTAATTCTCATGGACTCTAGACTTTCTGGAGCCATGGGGGCTGGATGAACCTCTAAAACTATTGCCCTGAGATAATCTTTAAACCTTAAACCAAAAATATCCCCTGAAGTCCTCTTCAAACCAAACAATAGTTGAACTAAACTGGTTAAAAAAAAAAAAAAAGTCTGCCTTGAACATCATGCTCTTTTTAAAAATATCTACAGGGAATCAAAGTGACGACAGCAACTCAGAAGATTAGATAGGAACCTCGGGGCAGTGAGTTTATGTAATGGGGAGGAACAGCTCAGAACGGAGGGTGAGCATGTGTGCACAACTTGAATGTAATCAATGTCACTGAATTGTGTATATAGAAATGGTTGAATTGATGTATGTTTTGCTGTGTATATTCTCAACAACAGCAACAAAATGAAAGAAAAAAAAAACAGTTTGCCACTTTGGCATGCCTAGCACATCCTGTCTTTTTCCCATTTTATTAAATATATGAGGCCTACACTTATTGCTAATATCCACACTCCGGTTTTTCCACTTTGTACTCCGGTTAATAAAATAATGACGGCAAAACACAGGGAAACAACAGCTCAGTCCCACATCACTCTGCTGCTGTTGGGATGGGCAGCACCAGCTGGCCAGGCGCCCAGGCCAGGCTGTGATTTTCTCAGGCTGTTGAGTAGTGTAGTAGGAGCCCTGGTGGTGCAGTGGTTAAGTGCTCATCTGCTAACCGAAAGGTCAGCAGTTTGAACCCGCCAGCCGCTCCATGGAAGAAAGACGTGGCAGTCTGCTTCTGTAAAGATTACAGCCCTGGAAACCCTATGGGGCTGTTCTACTCTGTCCTGTAGGGTTGCTATGAGTGGGAATCAACTTGATGGCAATGGGTTTGGTTTAGTGATGTAAGGAAGGAGCCCTGGCGGCACAGTGGTTAAGTGCTCGGCTGTTAACCATAAGGTTGGCAGTTCGAACCCACCAGCTGCTCCAGGGAGGAAAGATGTGGCAGTCTGCTTTTGTAAAGATTACAGCCTTGGAAACCCTTGGGGCAATTCTACTCTGTCCTCCAGGGTTGCTGTGAGTCGGAAGCAACTTGACGGCAGCGAGTTTGGTTTTCCGGTTTCGAGTAGTGCCAGGTCTTTAGTGTTTACCAATCAAGGGCTACCGTCCCTTTTACAACAACCCCGCAGTCCCTCCCCAACCCTCCCTACTAAGTAGTCACCAGCTCCTGACGGCCTAGGTGCCACCCGCCCTACTTCAAGCCCCCAGGAAGGAGAGTATGGATGACAGAAGGAATTCAAAACCATCAAAAGCAGGAAGAGGGTGAGGTAGCCCACCCACGCACTGGGTTCACACCCTGAGCAAGGGAGCTGCAGGAGCCCCTTTGCAGACAGAACCTTATGTGGGACCTGTCTCCTCCTGGTGTTGTACAAAGCTGGCACTTCCCCACAGAGGTGTACCCCTTCCCCAGAGAGGGGCAGACTTATGTGGGGCTCTCCCAAGAGGACTTTTTTAAGGATTTGTGTACGTGTGGTAAAAATATACACAACAAAACATTCTCCAGTTCAACAATTTCTACGTATGTAAGTCTGTGACATTGATTACGTTCCTCATGTCGTGCAATCACTCTTGCTGTCCTTTTCCAAATTATTTCACCACCGTTCACATAAACCCAATACCCCCTAAGCAAAACTGCCCCTTTCCCCCTCCCTGCCACCTCAGGAAACTACTAATAAACTTTGGTTTCTACATATTTGCTTATTTCATATAAGTGAGATCATACAATATTTGTCCTTTTGCGACTGACTTATTTTGTTCAGCTTGTGTTTTCAAGGTTCATACAAGTTGTGGCATGTATTAGGACTTCATTTCTCTTTATGGCTGAGTAGTATTCCATTGTATGTATATACCACATTTTGTTTATCCATTCATCCTCAAGAAGACTTTTCCATGGTGGGAGGCCCCACATTAGAGACGTAAGCAGGCATGGGAATTATGCGGGAGCCCGGGACTGCCTGGAATAGGAAGGATGAATCAGTCCTCAGCATCCCACAGTGTAACACACACACCAGTGTGATTTGGGCTTGAGTTGTTGAAGTCTTCTGAAACATGTAGACTCCAAATGTCTCTGGCCATGTGGAAGACCAGGAGAAGGGTCACCGTGTACTGCAGCCCAGCGGGGGTCAGGTTGTCACCACAAGCCTTTTGCTATGCTGCTGCCTTGGTTATGATTGTCATTTTATTTTAAAATGTGTGTCTTCTTGCCAACAGTTGGAACAGAGCCAGAAAGAGGCCTCCGAACTCCTGGAGCAGAACCGCCTTCTCCAGGACCAGCTGCGAGTGGCGCTGGGCCGGGAGCAGAGTGCTCGGGAGGGTTACGTGCTGCAGGTAGGGCCTGGCTGCGACATGGTACACTGGGGTTTGATGTAGGCACTCACACCCGGCAGGGTAGGAATGTGCAAAACCTGGCTGAGTGGCACCGCGTCCTCCTCTCCTCAAGAGGGACTCCATGTGGTGAGGGGCTTCCTGTGTGTTCTCTCCTCCCAGCCTGACACTGGGGGCTCTGCCTGAACCTCTGCACCAAAGGGCTTTATGAACAGATGATTCTGGTGCTCTGTTTGGCCCTCAGAGTGCCTGGTACAGATTTATTATCAGCATCACATCTTAGACGCCACTGCTGGTTATTTTCACGGTGGCAGTGTTAGGCCCGTTCACAGATAGGAGCCAGCACTTGAGAGTGCAGCAGGCGGAGATCCTTGCTTAGGGCCAACCGCAGTGTTGGCAAAGCTTGAGTCAGAGCCCGCCCCCAACACCCTGGCCACACCACATGTCAGCCAGGCCCCGCCTTTCACTTTATGTCCAGGCAGAAGTTTCAGGGGAAGTGTGGCACAGCACCCCCAGCCTGAGCAGACTACACCAGCCTAGAGGGGAGCCAAAGGGGGTCATCCTCCACACGGTCATGCCAAGTGCCTGGCCTATGGAACCCAGGGCCTGCTGAGGTATCCTCAGGTAGCAGAAGCGTCCGGGAGCCATGTCATGCTCTGAACAGGGGGAGTCTAGGACAAGGAGAGGAGAGTCCCCACACCCGGGGAGGAGTTGGCCTGTGGGCTCTGATGCACCGTGCCAGCAGGGCACCCAGCCAGTGCCAGGACAGGAAGCGCAGCTGGGGTGTACACCCCCTGCTTCCTCTGCCTTTCAGAGGAGCCCTCTGGGTCACAGCAGCCACTTCAGGGCCAGGCTGTTGAGATTTTGTGGTACCAGCAAGGATTGGGGAGCTTTCCCGAGACCAAGACAGAACAGTGTATCGACAGGCCATGACTGCTCAGTGCCAGCGGCTTGGCCGGGCCAGTCCTTGCACACATCCCCAGACAGCACAGCCGGCATTCCTAGCGCACCTGTCTAGTAATGCTTCCAGCAGCCAGACCCACAGAGCAGAGTGAAGTGGTGCTGCCTGGGGCTCCCCGAGGCAGTAGGTGCCTGGTGTGGGGGGCCAGTGGTGCCGCCTCTCCGACATGCTCCAGGCACTGCAGGTGCTTGCCATAGCACAAACAAGGCTCATGCTGCGCCAGTTGTGCTGACGAGGGGGTGGGGGCGGCAAGAAATAGATGAAGAGAAAGGATCAGAGATATATGCTGGGGAAATTTGTGCCCTCTCCCACAGGCCAGCCTCCTGACTGGTGTTCACGCAGTCCTAATGGCCAGGACCTTGCAGCTCTAAGAGACTCAGTATCTATGATGAGCTTACAGGGCTATGTTTGCAGACCAACAGGTGCCTGCCCTCTTCAGTTCAAGGGCTGCAGGTGGACCAGGTGGCTCTCAGCCACTCTGTATCAAAGTTGACCCTTTTGCCTCTCTCCATTCTTTCCCTTTTGTTGCATTTTTCCTTTGCCTTCAGTTTGTTCTCCCATTTGATTATGGCACTGGGCCCTTCTCTCTCCAGCCCACTTTGACCTATTTGTTGCCATGCCCAGTCCATACTCTCCAGCCCCAGCACTGGTGAGGGTGGGCAGCCTTCTCCTACTCACCTGATTCTGGAGGCTTTCCAGGTCATTCCTGCCCACCCTCCAGGTGTGGAAGCATCTCCTTAAGCCTCTGCCGGCCCTCGCCCCACACACACACTCCTGCTGAGTGGTGGAGATCTACCATAGACGTTGCATACTGCTAGCCTGAGGGCCTGCTGGGCCAAGAGCCTGAGCCCACACTGAAGCCCTGTGGCAGCCCAGGGAAGCTGGTCTCCGTCCCTGCCCAGGAAGCTGAACACCTAGCTGGGTGTAACCACCTTCTGAGCTTTGGGAATGCTTGTGATCAAAAGCCAGACACGAATGCAGCTTTCTTTATTGTGGAAGGGCCAGAAGGATACCCGCCCGCAGGGTGGGCGCTGCACTGTCCTGTGCTGGGGGGTGGTGGGTGGGGCTTGCATGGTTGGGACGTGGAGCATGGAGTGGAACTGACTGTAACTGAGTGTCACATCTGTGGCTTCCCTGCCAGCACCACCGCCACACTGCAGGCCAGGTTCTTAGGCTGGGCTGTTCCTCTCATCCTTGTCCATGTTCCTGTTTTTCCTCCCTAAATTACATTAGTTCTGTCCATTTTGCATGCCTTTCAGTTTGGGGAGTTTTGTTTCATTTGTTTTTTTGTTTTGTTTTGTTTTTCACGTGCTTCACTTCCTTATTTTGAGTTCCACAAAGGTTTGTTTGTTTTGTTGATTATTATACTTTACTCTATGGTTCCTGGCCTTCCCCACCTCCCCCATTTGTCTTCTTGCAGGTAGAGATTAAATCTTTCCTGTTACTGTAGGATTGAATACACTTCTAAAGGGAAATGTTTCGGGTGTCCCAACACTGACATCTCCCAGCAGTCACCTTCCTTCCTTCACCTCCAGTCGTGGAAGGAAGTGGCCTCATGTACCCACACCTGACTCCCTGCACTTCTTGAGGACTGGCTGTCTAGAACTGTGTGCTTTTGTTTTGCAAAACATAACAAACACAGGTTCTCTGTTCCTCCCTTGTGTCCTCCTCCCCACCACCTCGTGTTCGCAGGTTCTCATTTTGCTTATCCATGTGTTCCATCATTCAGTTCTGTTTGGTTTATTTCTCCTAGAAGCTATTCAGTTAGAGCTGTTTTGATGTTATTGTCCATGTTTTCTGTTTACCTGAAAGCGGCTACTTAAAAAAAAAAAATTAAGATGATTTGTTGGATTATTTAATGGAAAAAATAATAATACTTTGCAAAGGAGAAAAAGCAAACCCACCCCAGGAGCTTTTCCGTGGTGATCCTGGCCAGAGGTGTGACACTCAGAACCGGGAGGCCAGAGTGTTACTAACCTAGTGTCTAATCGGTTTTTTTAAGACTGAAGTGGCCACCTCCCCGCCCGGTGCCTGGCAGAGGCTCCATAAAGTCAACCAAGATCTCCAAAGTGAGCTGGAAGCCCAGTGCCAGCGCCAGGAGCTGGTCAATCAGCAGATTCAGGCCCTGAAACGAAGCTACGGGGAGGCCAAGGACGCGATCCGACACCACGAGGCCGAGGCGCAGAGCCTCCAGGCAAGGCTGAGCAACGCCACCGCCGAGCTGGCCATCAAAGAGCAGGCACTGGTTAAGCTCAAGAGTGACCTGAAGCTGGAGAAGGACAAAGTCCGCGAGCAGCTGGAGGAGTGGCAGCACAGCGAGGCTGTGCTGAGCGGGCAGCTCAAGGCCAGCGAGCAGAAGCTCAGGAGTGCGGAGGCCCTGCTGCTAGAGAAAATGCAGGAGCTGCGGGACCTGGAGACGCAGCAGGCACTGCAGAGGGACCGGCAGAGGGAGGTGCAGCGGCTGCAGGAGCGCATAGCCGACCTCAGCCAGCAGCTTGGCGCCAGCGAGCAGGCCCAGAGACTGATGGAGGAGCAGCTGCAGAGGAACTACGAGCAGCTGATGGAGAGCTGCGAGAAGGAGAAGCAGGTGTTGCTGAAGAGCCTGAAGGAGGTGGAGGACAAGGCCAGCGCCTATGAGGACGAGCTGCAGGACCGTGAGCAGCAGGTGGAGGTGCTGCAGAAGGAGAAGCTGAGCGCCAAGTTCAAGGGCAGTGAGCGGGTGCACCAGCTGGAGGAGCAGCTGGAGAGGAAGGAGGCCAGCATCCAGGAGCTCGCCAAGCACGTCCAGGGCCTCCGAGACGAGTGTGACCTCCTCAGGCAGCGCTTCCAAGAGCTAGTGGCCCGGGTTACCGTGTCTGACGAGGACGTTGCTGCACTGCAGGCACAGCTGAGGGGGAGGGAGGCCGACTACCAGAGCCTGGAACACTCCTTCGGGGAGGTGTCTGGGCAGCTCCAGCACATGCACACACTGCTCCACGAGAGGGAGGAGGAGCTGGGGCGCATCAAGGACCTGCACGAGAGAGTCGTGGAAAAGAAAGAGCAGGACCTCAACGAGGCCTTGGTGAAGATGGTGGCCTTGGGGAGCAGCTTAGAGGAGACTGAAATAAAGCTTCAGGCAAAGGAGGAGATGCTCAGGAAGCTAGCAGATGAGTCTTTAAAGGAGTCAGAAGAGCCTCGTGCCACCCTGAGGACAGACTGTGGCAGCATTGTGCATGTGGGCCAGCAACTCCAGGCCACAGGGGTGCCTCTGGGCACCCCACATGCAGAGCCTAAGGGCAAGGACCAGGGGGCTGACCTGGGGGAAGACAGTGGGGCCGGCAGCCCCGGAGGAGAAGATAGCAGTATTCTCCTGAGGTCAGCGGAAGTGCCTGATAACGAGGGACACCTGCAGAGCATGACAAGGCCCGACCCGAGGATACCAGGTATTAAAAGGCAAAGAATCCGGTTCTCCACAATCCAGTGCCAAAAATACATCCACCTCGACGGGTCAGAGAAGGCCTGGACGAGCAGCACATCCTCTGACACGAGCCAGGACCGCTCACTCTCAGAGGAAAGTATGTCGTCCGAGCCTGCCCCAGGCCCACTCCCCGGGCCCAGCGATGCAGACACCTACCTCTCTATCATACATTCCCTGGAGACCAAGCTGTACATCACGGAGGAGAAGCTCAAGGATGTAACCCTACGGCTGGAGAGCCAGTGTGGCCGAGACCAGGAGGCCCTGGTGGCACTGCACCACCAGTGGGCAGGCACTGAGGTGCAGCTCCGTGAGCAGCTCCGGGCCAGCCTCGCGCAGGCTGGTGCGCTAGCTTCCCAGCTGGAGCAGGAGCAACAGGGCAGGGCAGCATTCATGGAGAGCCATACTAGGGAACTCGGGGACTTCCAGATAAAAAACAGCCAGGCCCTTACCTACTTAGAAAAATGCCATGAACAGCTAAGGTCCCTGCCAAGGACGGGCCAGGAAGAGGAGCATGCTGCCCCCTCATCCTCTCTGGCCAGCATGGAGAGCATATTAGCCGATGCCATCCAGGTACTGCAGCTCCTGCCAGCTCCTGCAGATAACACAGCCCCTGCACCGCATGAAGATGGGAGCTGCCTGCAAGGAGGGAGACCCCCTGCTCAGCAGCAGCCCTGGCAGCCTGAGCTGACAGAGCAGGAACAGTTGAAGCTCCTCTCAGACCAGATAGCTCTGGAAGCTTCACTGATAAATCAGATTGCAGACTCTTTAGGAAATACAACATCTGATATCTCTTGTGTCCTCCAAGAGATTTCTCAGGCAGGAGGCTTGCCCCTGGACTCTGAAAGTGCTGTAGCTTATCCTAGGTCTTTGGCAGATTCCCTGGCGAAGAAGCTGCTGGTGGACGGGGAATTCTGGAGCCAGGTTGAGTCACTGAGCCAGCACCTGGTGACGCTAGGAGGAGAGGCAGTAGAGGCCACCGACGGGGGGTGGCCGGGCCTCCCACCTGCCCTGGTCCCCACCATGGCAGATGCTACGCTGGTCAGGGCTGAGCTGAGTTTTGTCACACAGTCAGTGAGGGAGTCGTTTCACCACAGGCTGAGCAGCGTTCAGGAAAAACTGCGCAGCGCCAAGGCAGCACTGCAGCGACTCAGGTGCATGCTGAGCGAGATCCTGGAGGCCTATCACACTCCAGATTTTGAGAGAGTGATGCAGCAGGCTTTGGAGGCCCTCGGGCTTCAAGCAGGTACTGAAGAAGGTGTCCTGCAGTCCTGGGACTTGAGCCCCCTAGGGGAAGTGCTGAGTCAAGACCCCAGCAGCACCCTAGAGCCCTTTCAGCCACCAGATCAGAGCTCTGGTGCCTTCGTTGCCATTCAGGAAGAACTTGCCCAGCAGCTTAAAGCCAAGGCTCACATCCTGGGGGAGATAGCCACTGCTCTCTCGTGCCTTCCTCCTGTGGAGTCCTTGAGTGGCTGTCAGAAGCTTCTTCAGGCATCCCAGACTCTCTCCCACAGCACATGTTTGGGAGGCCTCAGTCAGTACTCTTCACTGTTAGTTCAGGATGCCATCATTCAGGCTCAGGTGTGCTACACGGCCTGCAGAATTAGGCTGGCATATGAAAAGGAGCTCCAGTTGTACAAGGACTTGTGGCAGAGCAGGGACGCCCCCTGCCAGGAGCACTTGCAAGCTCTCGGGGCCCTGAGGGAGGAGTATGAAGAACTTCTCCGGAAGCAGAAGAGCGAGTACCTGGAAGTGATTGCCATCATCGAAAGAGAAAACGCAGAGCTCACGGCCAGGGTGACACAGCTAGGCCATCAGCAGGGCTGTCTGGAGGCAGTGGAGAGCGAGCACAGTGCGACTGTGTGCACCCTGCAGGGGCGGCACGGAGAGGAGCTGCTGGCCATGATGGAGCAGCTCGGCCAGGCGGAGCGCACGCTGCAGGCCGAGCAAAGCCGGGTCCTGAGCCAGTTGGATGCCTCCACCAAAGACCTGCAGGACCCAGAGCAGCACCACGTGGAGCAGATGCAGACCCTCGAGGACAGGTTCCAGCTTAAGATAAAGGAGCTGCAGGGTATTCACGCGGAGGAGCTGCGGACACTGCAGGAACACTGTTCCCAGAACCTGCAGCGCCTGAAGGAAACCCTCAGCCACTGCCAGCAGCAGCGCCCTGGAGCTCTGCCAGCCCCCGGCCCCCCGAGAGGCCCACCGCCACCCTCCCCCAGCTGGCCAGCCAGTCAGGCTGAGGGAGTGGCTGAGTCTGCAGCCAGGCTGCACGAGCGCATACAGGAGCTAGAGGCGCAGACAGACACCATGCAGGAGGAGCTGGAGCACAAGGACCTGGAGGGTGGTGTGGCCACACTGCAAAAGAAGTACCAGAGAGACTTGGAGAACCTGAAGGTCATAAATGCACCCTTCACTTACACAGCCCTGGGCGGGGAAGTCCTTTCCCTCCAACGGTGCGCGGCTCCTTCCTGCGGGGGGCTGGGGTTCCATGCATCCTGCTCCAAGGGGGAGTTGGGCAGGGCTCCTTGGTTCTAGTCACTGTAGGAACAGAACCTTGTTGAAGTTCTGTTTGCTCCCTACGTCACCCGCTGGCCCTGATGTGAGCTTGAAGCAAGCCTAGGCCAATGGCCCAGCCTTCTGTTTTCACATCACCCAACGGACAGGAGAGGTGGCAGGAAGGACAACTGATTGCTGATGTGAAGACAGATTAGTCTTCCCCACTGCTTCTCACCCATTCACAGGTGCCTTCTGCGTAGGGCACCTTTCTGCCCTTTCCTGGGGTGGAGCTGGGCCCTTGGAGCAGCCTCTACACTCCCTGTCCAAGCCCCCTGCCCCATCTTCCCCTCCCTCAGAACTCCACTGAGGACCAGAGCACAACCAAACCCAAGGCACAGGCCCAAGGGGAGTCCTCAAGCTCACAGGGAAAGAGCCAGTGAGGGACCAGGGAGACATGGCCAGAAGCTCCCTCAGAGGCACTTTCTTTCCAGATTCTTGTAACTGTTCTGAGAGCAGTCACTCTTACATCCCAGCTCCCTGAGGAGCCTGGATTCATGAGCATTCTGAGAAGGGCTTCTCTACCTAGCACACTTACAGCTGCCCACACTTCCCATTTCAGGAGGTGGGAAAATGCCCCTGCCCAGTGATTGGTCCCCTCACGCTCAGCATTACTCAGCAGAAATCTCAGGCCCTGGCATGCAGAGGTGGCACTCCCGGGTCTCTCGGGGCTAGGCCATATGGAGTGTCTGGTCCTCTTGCTACCCCACTGCCCCCAGAGACCTATGTGCTGCTTGGAGCCATCTTCCTGAGTGGGCACCCTGGCTGTCCTGGCACTGTCCTCACAAGGTCCCTCTGTACCTCGGGCTCCACAGTGTGCTCTGGTGCTCACGCACGTTTCTTACCTCTAGTAGCTGCACCTAGCCAGCACGAGGCTCCTTCTCAGGAGCTCTTCAGTGAGACAGTGCCTTGCCGAGCTAACTCCAGATGGCTTGCTTCAGCAAGATCCTGATTCTCTGCTGCTGCTGCCAGCCCCAGCAGCACTGTTGGCAGACAGCTGAGGCTGTTTCCCAAACCGCATACACCTCCATCTCTGAGAGAAAGGCTTAGTATTTACCCCATGTGATGACACAGCCTGTTTGACCAAAGACAGACAGGTGCGATCATCAAGAGCAGGGGCTTGGGAGGGAGAAGCTACTTCTCCGTGTTCTTCTCCCAGCCTGTCAAGACTCATGAGACAGATTCCAAGCACATGGGGTGATCCCTGTGAAGCTAAGCGTAAGTGAAAGCAGTGTCAGGGTAAGTTCACGCATACCCTGACAGCGCAGACCTCTGTGCTGACCCGACCTGACAGCACAGGCTTCTGTCATGAACCAACCTGACAGCACAGGCCTCTGTGGTGACCCGACCCGACAGCACAGGCTTCTGTGGTGACCCGACCTGACAGTCAGCACAGGCTTCTGTGGTGACCTGACCTGACAGCACAGGCCTCTGTGGTGAGCCAACCTGACAGCACAGACCTCTGCAGTGACCCGCACCCAGATCCCAGTGCACTCCTTGAAGAGCATCTGGCAGCGTGCCAGTCCGTGTACACACGTGCTGTGGCTGCGCCCGTGCAGAATGGGGTGCTCCTTCCCATAAGGTCCACCCTTAATATTTGCACCCACAAGGACCTCCTCTGAGGTGAGGTGATTTTCACTCCCACACTGGCCAGCTGGACACTGCTGACATCAGACCGCCAGTTAGCAGAAATTAGAATAGAACAACCTGGCTGACAAGCTGTCCTGAGGTTGTGCTGGGTTCCAGGTGTTCATCTGCAGGGGAGCGCACTAGGTGGCATCTTTCAGGGTGCCGCCTCGAGCCCATTGCTTTGCATCCAGTCTCTGCCCCCAGCCCATCGAGTGGACATAGAATTTATAACTAATCCTCTTTTGTAACCAAATAGTAGTCTTAGGAGGGCCCAGATAATATCACTTTGTCTGGATTTTTCTCTTGGTTGAGGGGACAGGGGTCTTGGTCTAGTGCTCCCCCCTCCCCCGCCCCATGGCCACAAGGGGATGCCTCTCCACCATGGCTCAGGAAAGGAGTTGTTGTAGAGCTTTCTGTTGATCACAGGGATAATTAAATATTAAAATTTGTTCACATAGTCATTAGCATATACACTCTCCAAGGAAGCAGTTGGATCTTTAAGGATACCTTAGTATCTCTGTTAGAAGAATTTTGACCCTTATCTTCAAATACTCTGAAGCATTCAAACAAACCAAAATGAGAACTGCAAGGCCTACCACCTGTGTGTTAGCTGAGAAACCACAGATTAGCCCAAGCATGTGGGAGGGAGAACAAAGCACTCAGAAGTGGGGCCTGGGGGCCAGGCAGAGCTCCCTTCAGACCTGGCCACAGCTCTGGAACTTTCTACCATCCTGGGTGTGAGGGAGGTAGAGGAGAGAAAGCCAGGAGGCAGCCAGCTTCCACGAGGGAGCCATAGAGAAGAGATGCCTGGTTTCACAGTCAAGCAAATACATTGCAGTGAAGTCTGGGTTAGTCATGAGTTTGAAGAACTGAAGGATCAGGGAAAGGCCACTCAGCTCCTGCATGGGCTGTACAAGATCATCGACCAATTAGTACAGGGTGGAGCTGGGGGGTCACCCACAGACTTGCCTTTGAAATGTAATTGACCACATTCCCCCATTACGAAACATCAGGAAGAGGTGGCTCCCTGCTTTGAACAGCCCTTGCAGAGATGTTGACAGAAAGCAAGCCTCTGGCACAGCGCCCAGAGCCACTGCCCACAAAGCCAGGCATCCTGGTGTGGGCAGTGGAATGGTGGGTCTCTTCTTAGGGTGCCTTGTGCTCCTGTCCAGGTAGTAAGCCAGCCCCAGGGTAACAAGGCACAGACCAGTGTGGAAAGTAGCTCTGCTGTGCATGCCTGTTCACAGTGCGGTCGCTCATGACAGGCCCCTCACTGCACACCCTCAAAGAAAGCAGAAGACAGATACAGGCCAGAAGGGAAGGAGGAGTATGGCCTGACCCATGTCCCTTCATTGGCACCTGGGGAAACAAGTGAGGTGAAATGGCCATTTTACGGTCATTAGCTGGCTATTGGCCGGGCTGGGCCCCTGACTGCTGGAAGTGGGCTCTGTCCACCCCTGAAGGAGCAGCAGGGCCTCCCTTGGTGGCCTCGGTCCTCCAGCTGTTAGATACTCAGAAGGTAGTAGCCCTGAGTGTGTGGGCCATTACTGGTCATTGTTTCTAACAGCCGCTCGTCAAGTGCCCAGTTTGTGGCAGGCACTGAGAGCTCTTCACTCTTAACTCCAAACCAGAAATGATGAGCCTCTTTATATCTTCTCTCTCCTTCCCTCTTCCTACCATTTCCATGTGGCCACAGTGAGTCTATGAAAGTCCAGGATTGCCTGTTTCAAACTCCACTGCACCCTCTTCCCACCCCCAGTACCTACACTTTCCCAGGAGAAATGGGATTCAGAACAATCACGTAGAAATAAGACATGTAGCTTATGAATGCAAACACCTTCCTAGTGCTCTAATGGTGCACTAGCACCAGGAAGCCTCAGTGGAAACCTCAGCAGCCAGCATGCGTTCCACAGGGGTTGTTGGGGCCAGAGTGGGCAGGTGCTTGGCTGCTTACAAGACAGGAAGCCCTACTTAGGAGTCAGGAGAAAAACCAACAGCGCTGTTTGCATCTTGCAGGCCACATGTGAGCGGGGGTTTGCAGCCATGGAAGAGACACACCAGAAAAAGATTGAGGACCTGCAGAGGCAGCACCAGCGGGAGCTGGAGAAGCTGCGCGAGGAGAAGGACCGCCTCCTGGCAGAAGAGACTGCCGCCACCATCTCAGGTGGGCAGTAGGTGGGGCAGGACAGCAGGAGGCTCGTTCTAGACAGAGACATGACTGGACAGTCCTCTTCAAGGAGATGCTGGTGCTAGGCGATGCTGAGTGCTCCTCAGCCCAGAGCCAGCTCCTAACTCCTCGATGGCGACATCTTTATTCCAGAGCTGACATGCTCTGCTCTGAGCAGGCACAGTCGAGCGTCCTCACTGCCGGTGTTCTGCAATGCTGCTGTAGTCAGATGTGACTGCACAGGAGTTGTCATGTCAGTACCAAAGAGAAGATATACCAACCCAAACAGTGGTGTGTTTTATGAACTCGCACTTGAATTTAACATTGACTTTTATTTAATCAGTTTTCTGTTCTTCTGACACCCAAAAACATGCAACTCCATCCCTTCTGGGAGAGCTCAGTGGGGAATCTTCAGCCTGCATACCCCCAGGGGCCTGGTGCACGAGGGCTGCCTGTCAGAGTGGCAGCCCCAGCCTCATGCTGAGGGTTGTGTCCTTGCATACTTGCAGCTATTGAGGCCATGAAGAATGCCCACCGGGAGGAGATGGAGCGGGAGCTGGAGAAGAGCCAGCGCTCCCAGATCAGCAGCATCAACTCAGACATAGAAGCCCTGAGGCGGCAGTATTTGTGAGTTCTCTGGCAGGAGGGGCAGCCTTCAGGAAGGCCTGGGGGGCTTAGGAGGGGCTGTCTTCCAGAGCTGCGCAGAGATTAGAGTCCCCAGATGGTGTGGTGGCAAGTGGCACTAAAAGGCAGATCAGACTGGCTGCCCATGGAGCTTGTGTGGCAGCGCCCTCCTGCTGGCCCCAGTCAGCGAGCGGCCACTGTGGCGCTTCCTTGAGCTGCCATGTTTTGTAGCAGGAACATGGCTTGAGTGGGGGCTTCCTGTTAGTAAACAAACCAATGAGAAACAATCACTAAAACCTAAAGAATAGGACGCAACAAAGGAAACTGAAATGTTAGGTGTTTAGGGCTCCTCTGAGAAAGCCTCTGCAGCCACCCCCAGGAATTTGCCTTCTCTGTCCACTGCTGTTGTTCCAGTAGCCTAGGGGAGGACGTGGCTGTGATCTGGCACGTGTCCCCAGCAGTGCTCCCTGGAGAAACGCCGTGTGCTCCTTTCCTCGGCACAGGCAGCAGGCTGGAGAGCACACACCAGGGTCGGTGCCGGTTGGTTTTCCTATGTAGAGTTAGCACAGCACACAGCCCTTGCATTGCAGCTGTGGAAGCCGTTGTCCCTTACTTTTTAAATGGGTAAAAAATGATGGCAACCACCGAGTCCACAGGGCCTGCTCCCTGTGGCTCTGCTGTTTCTGAGCATCTGAGTGCGCTACAAGCTGCAGGAAGGGGCAGGAAGCCATCAGAGCGAGGCAGGGCTGTGAGCGGTGCCTCTCCCCAGGGAGGAGCTGCAGTCGGTGCAGCGGGAGCTGGAGGTGCTGTCAGAGCAGTACTCACAGAAGTGCCTGGAGAATGCCCACCTGGCCCAGGCGCTGGAGGCTGAGCGGCAGGCCCTGCGGCAGTGCCAACGCGAGAACCAGGAGCTCAACGCCCACAACCAGGTGAACCACACCAGCTGCTCATGTGAGGGCCGTCTGACATGTCTCAGCATGTTGGCTGTCTTGCTCACCTGAGCCAGCTGCTGGAATTTGGGGTAATTTTTGTTACAGCCCTTTTGGGAACTCTAAAATGTCTTCATTCCTTCCCCTGAGCATTTCTGAGTTTTTGGTTCAGAATTGCCAGGCAGGGCCTTGGTCAGGAGTCCTCATTGCAGAGGAGGGAGGCGGCTTGGGCTGCTCGAGTTGGAATCATACACTCATCAAACTGCCTGCCCCTCAGAAAGCTGGACTGCATTTAAAGTTCTGGTTAATTGCAGGATTCAAGTTAGATTTAGTTAATGTAAGCTGTTCTGGGGGTGCCAAATCAAACTACCCTCTGTGTTACCCATCCTCCTCAGCCTCCCTGCACCGACAACACAGACAAACAGACAAACATATGTGATGAGGCCCCTCTTCCCAGTGTGCCAGAGGCATCCCTGGGCCCCACACACACTGCACAGCCTATATATCAAGGGGTGTGGGGCAGGACTTGTTCCACTTCATCGCAGCAGTGGTTTGAAGGTGACTACTTGTCAGTTGAAAAGAAGGTGCAGAAAATGAGAGGGGAGGGTGGCAGCAGAACCTAATCCTGTGAGAACTCAGTGAGACAAACCATGACACGAATTAATACTAGTTATCATGGGTGTCACAGTTAAGTGTTCAGCTGCTAACCAAAACGTTGAAGGTTCAAGTCCACCCAGAGGTACCTCAGAAGAAAGGCCTGGTGATCTGGTTCCAAAAAATCAGCCATTGAAAACCCTACAGAGCACAGTTCTACTCTGACACACGTGGGGTCACCATGAGTTGGAGTCAACTCAGTGGGAACTGGTATCATTAACAGAAAAAGATGATCAAGTCCTGCATACACAGTTCCATAAATACTTAAATAAGCCACTTAAAACAGCTTTTACAGAGATGGAAGTCACAGGTAGTGACAACCCTCATACAATGAAGCTAAAGTGTGCTGGTGTGCACACAACAGCCCCACAGCTTCCTCTGCTTTTATAGCTGACTACTGCGTGTTCTCAGTGAGAACATGACCTTTCTTTGTTGTTTGGCGCATGCCCCCGAGCATGTGTGTCAAATGTCACTCTTGGTGTTGTGTTGCTGTCCCCCAGGAGTTAAATAACCGCCTTGCTGCAGAGATCACACGGCTGCGGACATTGCTGACCGGGGACGGTGGAGGGGAGGCTGGGGGTTCACCGCTCACGCAGGGCAAGGACGCCTACGAGTTAGAGGTACGCCTCAGCCAGCTCCCTCCTGTTTACCCAGCAGCCCTGCCTTGTGCACTGTGGAGACCCAAACAAGAACAGATGTGGTCCCTAGCCAGCAGCATCACAGGGGAGGCAAGAGTGAAAGAACACTGAAAAGACATAAAAGTTACCCCCAAGACCACAGAAGGCAGCAATCAGTTGCCAGGCAGCATGGGAGCCACTGCCAGGAGGGGTGGTCCAACCCAGCCTCCCCTCCACCACTCTCCTCCTGTTTTCACCACAGCGACAGATATTGGCTGCGTGAAATGAAATTGTCATGTATAATAACTGAATCTCTGGGTGCATGAGATTATACAACACCCTGTTTCTCAGGATCAGGAGGTTTGTTTTAAGTTGCAATGATTGATTTTGATGTATAAGGTGTGCTTTTATGAAGGCACTTAGATTTCTTCCCACTCAGTTGAGATTTCTTCACACAGAGATCTCATACTAGAAGAGCTTTACCAAGAATGGGCCGGGGAGGCAGAGGGAGTCCAGCAGGCATGTCAGTGGTGGCCTTGGCAGAAAGCGAATCAGCAGTTACACTTCACAAGGCCCCGAAAGCAAATGAGGTTGGGTCTCAGGACGCTAGAAGGAATTCTGGGTGCTTTCCTCTCCTTCTATTTTCATATGTAATTTTTAAGTTTCCCACAATGTTTAAACAGTCTTTTTTGGTATTCTTAATTAAATGTTGATGGGTGAGGTGCCATGAGAAGCAGCGTGTCCTCTTGTGGGGGTGGGGGGCTCTGCATGACCCTAGCCTCCACTGCAAAGTTCCAGGAGGGTCCTTGTCCTTGAACATCAGTCCCGACTTCTTTCTCATCCTAGGTCTTACTGCGGGTCAAGGAGTCAGAGATACAGTACCTAAAACAGGAAATCAGCTCTCTCAAGGACGAGCTGCAGACAGCACTGCGGGTAATGGCTACATCACAAGAGATCCAGGAAATGGGGCCCAGAGAGGGTGGGAGAGGGCTGAGGGTGGGATGCACAGAGAGCCCCATAAGTCCACCCCAGGCTATTCTAGAACAGGCATCATCCTCACTGAAAGCAATTCAGGAGCAAGTTCTCATGAAACCCCAGTCCGCACCGAGTGTGGTAAAGAGGAGCCACCTGTCTCCCGTTGATGGGTTGTGTCTGCATCTCCTGTGTGTTCTGCACAAGTAAGAAGAGGCCTGGCCTGCCGTCCAGTTGGTCAGGCCCTACTTGTCTCCTCTAGGGGACTCCTGGAAACAGAGAGGAGACGACTGAATCCCCAGTAGAGATTCAGTCACTTTGGAAGTGGGACAGGACTCCTCCAAACAGAGTGGGGTTCCCAGCAAGAGCTCACAGGCTGAGCGATCACTGGTGGGGGAAGCTGCAGCAGCTGGCACAGGCGGCCCAGGGGACTGCCTCTCCAGAGCTTGCAGAGGCCCCAGGAATCCAGGGGAGCACCTCATGGCGACCATGCTTTTGTACCCCATTGACTCTACTCTGTGTCCTGTGTCTGCCCTGGCACCGTGCACTGCAGCTGGGTGAGGCCCCAGGACGTGTGCCAGCCCAAGGAGACAGGCCTGTGCTTAACTGCACGGCACCAACACTGGCATACCACTGTTTGCCTCTATTCTTTGATTTCCAAGGACAAGAAGTACGCTAGCGATAAGTACAAAGACATCTACACGGAGCTCAGCATCGTGAAGGCAAAGGCAGACTGCGACATCAGTAGGTTGAAGGAGCAGCTGAAAGCAGCTACAGAAGCCCTGGGCGAGAAGTCCCCCGAAAACACCACAGTGTCAGGATATGGTGAGTTCTTCTACAGGTAGCTATGCTGTTTCATTTCTCTCTTCCGATGCGTACTCACTCGGCAGTGGGAGGGTAGAAGCGGAGGAGCGCGGAGCCCAGGGGCTGGGGCCCCAGTTTCTGCACGTGCTCTCTGGCTGGGGGGGCCGCTGTCCCCTGCATGCTTGTGTGCTGTCCCTGCAATGGGAATGCTGGCCAAGATTGTACTGCCTGCTCTAAGGAGAAACCACACAACCTGCATGTGTTCTCATAGGAAGGACAAGCTCTATTTTTCTGTTTTCTTAAAGAACTCAGTGGTTGGGTGGGAGCTGCTCTCCCTGGGAGGCAGGGTAGGAGGCCGCCGCTTTCTCAAGTGCACATCAGGGACTGGCTCATCTGCCAACCAGGAGCATTAAGACTCCTGAGCGAGAGTGAACAGCAGCATGTTAAAGACCTGATGCTGTATCAAGCACTCCACATGTCTTATTTCATTTGACCTTCATGCTGACCTTTTTAAAAAACCAACAACTGTGACGCTCCATCGCACTAATATCTACAACGATCCATTTTCACTTTCAGCTAACCAGGGTGAGCAACAGTGGCAAGCTGGCGATGCAGCATGCACCGCTGTGGAGGGTATACATTGGCATCTTTCTGGAAGGCCATCAGGCAACATGTAGCAAATTTTAAATCCAACTATGGACTAACTCTGGAAGGGTGACAAAATGGAAGTAGTGGTTGCTTCTGGGGAGGAAGTGAGGAGGGACAGGGAGAGAGGAAGACTTAGGATTAGGGGGATGTACGAATGTCCTTTGACCTATAGCCTTACTTTCTGAAACACCAGTGCACAGGGTGTGTGTGCAGGTGACTCGCATGTGCATGCAGGGGCCAATCACAGAGCTCCACCCAGGTATCTGCAGAGGACCGTGTGCCCTGTGGAAGAGCCACACAGCAGAATACCATATAGCTGTCTTTGTCCTGCTGTGGAAAGAGATCTATAAATATATTAAGGAAAAAAACACCCACACTCAGTACATACAGTCTGTTCAGACCCAGATCTGTCTGTGCTGTATGTGTCCAGGCAGACATTTCAAACAGACTGTTCATGGTGCTGTTCTTGGTGGGGTGCATGGTGAGGGGACTTTGTCTCACTCTTCAGTGTCTGGCCATCCGTTATTACCAGGAGGCAGGCAGGGAATAAAGAAAGAAAGGGGCAGTGAGTCTGATCAGCAACTTAGGTCCAGCCCAGAAGTAGAGACTTGCAGATGCTCCGGACGTCCTCACAGTTCTCTGTCTCCAGGCAAATCGAGGGAGGGAGGGCCTGTGAGGTACCATGCAGACATGCTCCACTTGTTCAAGATCACTGAGTTATTCCATAAAAGACGCAAAGCATCTTAGGATTACTGCTGTAAATCCCTTCAAGGTGCTTAGGAAATGTAATGTGTCACAAATGTGCTGCTGTAACAACAAGCTTTGGGAATTTTAAACATGTAGTCTGGTTCCAGAGGGTTTTAGAAGACAAAAGTAATAGGTTTGTCTGTTCCTTCAGATATAATGAAATCTAAAAGCAACCCTGACTTCTTGAAGAAAGACAGATCCTGTGTCAGCCGGCAACTCAGAAATATTAGGTCAAAGGTGAGTCCAGTGTCTGGCCTCTGGGTGTCTGGGGCTTGAGCAGGCACTGGGGAGAGGAGCCCAAATCAAAACCCAGGAGCCAGCCAGGCTCACCAGGGGACGCAGGCAGCCTCTCCAGCACAGCCTCGAGCCCCAGAACATGCCCGCCTCATACCACTTGGCCTTGCTGAGCCTGCCGGCTAGTTTTTACCAGTAGCGAGGCCCCTCCTGACGCCCAGGGCCCAGGCCCATGAGAAGCAGGCTGGAGTGGCTTCATCTCACCCACCCACCTACCACTGGCCTCCTAGTCCCCTGTGCCAGCCATTCGCTGCCATGTCCATGTTGTAACATTGGTGCCACCTGCCCTCAGCCTGCTGGTGGCCTGCAGCCTTCCCGTGCACTGTGGTGCAAACCTGCAAGCTTCCCAGGGTGGGTGGAGGTGGGAAGTGCTGCGCATGTTCATTTGGGATTTATTGAGTTTGTTGTTTTATTTTTGCTCTTTCCCCTGACAGTCGGTAATTGAGCAGGTCTCATGGGATAACTGAAACGAGCCCGAGTCCAGGCCCCCTGTCGTGTAGGTAAACCACCTCTCACCACCACCACCTGCCGCTGCCTGGGCGGCCCACTCTGCATGCACTGCTCACACCCCCATGTCAAGACGCCTGTTGATCACCTTTGTTTGCATCCATCCTGCTCCACAGGCACATGGAAGCCAAGGAAGTTTCTTTTAACCTGTTCTAGGGAGTTAGTTAGCACTATGACCTCTTAAGAGTTGACCCTTTGCAAAAAGGAGCTCTCCTTCTCAGCCCAGTGGGCCGGGCGATGGATGGTGTCTGGAGGCAGCAGGCAGATGTGCCCTTGGGCCTGGGCAGCATGCATGTGGGATGGCCTGTGCACACTGGGTGACTCAACCATGCTGTCTGGAACACCCACTGCGCCCTCTGTCCATAGGGAGTCCAGAGCACCCACTGCACTGACAAGTCACACCCACTAGCACTGATGAGCTCCCCCCCTGTTCACAGGCAGGCTGACCACCGGCATCAGGGCTTATAGGTAGCTCGGAGGAGCTATGGGAAAATGGTTCCAAAGAGCAGAGTTATAAATACCAGTTAATTGATGATATGCAAAACTAACTGAAGTTAAAATAAAAAGTGCAAGTAATAGGGGTTCAGTATTTTACCAGCATTCTTTTTTTAAAAAACATCTCACTGGTACCATTGTGGACTTTGCTATAAAGGGGCAGGGGTGGGAATAACCCCCCGCCAGCCTGTGAAGTTCCTGTCCCCCATCAGGGCTGGCATTTCGGGCCAGCCTCCCTTTCAACACAGCCTGTCTCTCCAGAGTGTGGTCACTTGTTCAGCCTCTGAGGTCTCAATTCATTCAGTTATTAGATTGAGAAGAGCAGAAAGGACACTGCACTGTCCAGGCTCCCAGCATGGGGGACGCTGAGGTGCCACTGAGCCAGACTGGCAGCAACAGCAGTGAGACTCATTTGCAGCCACCTGGCCCTCATGGGCCTTCCAGAGGGGCCACCGTTCCTGAAGTGTGTTTGGTTTAGGACACCCGTTGAGAAAATCTGAGTGTTTCAAACCTAGCTAGTTGATTCAGTTTGTTTATCTTTCTACAGTTCAAGTCACTTACATCCAAATATGGTTTAGGTTTGATTGAAGACTTAGTTTAGGCTTTTTTCTTTAAACATGAAAAACGTTGTTTAGCAAAGGAAAAATTTTTCTTTTTTGGGTTATGGTGTTCTTATTTAAGATTCTGTTTCCTATTTGAAGCTAAGCTCTGTTATTTCCAAGCGTTTCCTGAAGGGTCTGAACATTTGGATGTCCAGGATCAGTGCGGTGCAGTGATGGGGGCCCTCTGACCAGGCCTGTGGGTGACAGTGACGGGTGGGACAGGCCACACCTCAGTCAGAACAGACACGGCTTCCCTGGGTGTGTGCCAGTCCCTGCAGGGACGTGGCCAAGTAGAGGTCAGAAGTGAGGAGACGGCCATGTACCCAGGAAGGAGTGCCTCGGCCACCAGGGAGGACCCAGGTTCTCAGGCCAGGACTGGAGAAGGGTGAGGGAGCCCAGCAGTGGGTCTGAGTTCATGCTGGGTTCAGCTGCACTCCCAGCATCAGGAGAAAGCCCCTGGCGTGCAGGACATCCTGCTGGCCCCAGGAGAAAGCGAGACTTGCGATGTCTCAGGTGGTGGAGGACAGCTGTGGAGGGCCTGAGCCCGGCCCCCTGTGACACTAGCAGGCACACGTACACGGGGAATGTGTTGTTTTCCCTTGTTGTATTTAGGAAACCCCCGTACAAGAAAACAGAGGAACGAGATTGCCCAGAAACGGAACATTTCTTTGGTGCTTTTTGACATGGGATCTGGTGTATATTCGTTTATATCTTTCATTTATGTTCTGTTTTTATATCCTGCCTCACTCCAAGAAGGACAGAAAGTCCCAGCACCCACAAAATAAAAGCAAACTAGTTGTATAAGAGCAGCATGGCTTTTTCTGGGGTTGAGAGCAGGGAGAGATTTCCCCAGGGTTCCTGTAAAGTGTCCATGTTTGTGGTGAGCCCAGTGTGGTGGGCTGTTAGGCACCCCTCGGGCAGGCGCGGGGCTCTAGGAGAAGAGCTAGCCCCTGAGGGCCCCAGAGACAGCAGGGGTCCCAGGCAGCCTTGGGCTCTGGTGGGAAGCAAGCACAGGGGCTTGGAGAGGGGCAGCCCTTCTCTGGGCAGGGGGGCGGCATGTAAGGTGCTGGTTTTTACCCATGGCATGGAGCTTACCCCAGGGTGGGAGACCCCTCATTGCCCGCTGGCCCTGGCCAACTCTCCCTGAACACAGCCTGGGCTCTGACTCACACACAGAGCAAAGGCCTGCAGTCCACAGAGGTCCCAGCCATGTGATCTGCACACGCCTAGTCCTGCCTGGCTGTCCCCAGCTAAGACAGAACGGACATGGCCCGCAATGCCGCCCAGTCGTCCTCCAGATGACCCTCTCTTATAGCAGAGCCCTCACATCCAGGGTTTCTCACATGGGACAGCCCAGCCCATCTGGGTGTCGCCAGATGCCCACCAAGCCCCGGTCCTACCCTGGCTGCTGCAGAGAAGGGCGGGCCCTGGGCCTGCAGGTCTTCACTGGGCAGTGAGGCCTGGACATCAAGAACACTTAGAGGCAGGTTGTGTGTGTTAAGTGAGGAATAATAGACAGTTCTGCCTTCAAATGGGAGGTGGATTTGCCACCCCTCCCTACCCACCCTCTGTGAAAGCCTTTAAAAGTAGCCATAATCACCTCCCTAAAATAAAAAAACGTAGCCCCAACCAACTGATTAATTTCAGGTTTGTTTGGACCAGTGAGTTTCAAAATGTTTAGCAGTAGAACCCTTTGTTTTTACTGATATATATACACATAGACAAATGTACGTGTCTGTGTGTCTACACACACACACACACGTACATATGTGTATATACATACACCCATACATATGTATACAAATATACATACACATATATATCTCTACAGCATAAAAAACAAGCTGAGCTGTTCTGGATGAAGGTGGGTAGGGAGGGGAACACACCTGCACCCATCCCCAGGTTCTCTTTCTTAGAAGAGTCTGGGGCCCCCAGGCTTCTGTTAGCACCGCTTGCCCTGAAGCACCAGGTCTGACCCAGGAGCCGACTGGCCCCCTACTGCACAGCTGGAACTCCCAAGGAGTCCAGGGCTGTGCTGCGCGCACGTCTGCAGGCCCTTTGGACCAGGCTGGTGCTGCATCCCAGCATCCAATTTCTCGTGGCTCTCCTGGAACAGACTGGGCTAGAGCCCATGCCTGTGCCCATTCTAGCTCACACATGCCATGTAGGATGGCAAATCTAAGTCTGCTTTTCTCCCTGTAAAATGGGGGAGATTCCCTTAAAGGGCTATTGTGAAGATCAGGGAAGACGACTGGGGAATGGGGTCAGTCCACACTAGGTGCTAGGACCCCATGCATTTTGTCATTCACTGAAAACTGATGTTTCTTTTCTCATCCAGAAATGAAATCTTTGGGGAAAGTCTCCAAGAGTGAGGTGGGGACTGTTCTCTCTCCCAATTAGTAAAATGTCTTTTATCTCAGAACATACTATTTAAATCTTCCAGAGATCCCACAGGTACAGAGTACTGGTTTTAGTCTGAAAACCTGAGTACGTATATTGGTGTGTTCCAAAGTCGCTGTGACACTTCCTGGATGTCCTCGGGGAAAGCCCTGCAGGTGCGGAGTAGAGAGCAGGGAAGGGGGACTCGGGCTGCACTCTGCCCCCAACTGGAGGCTGCCATTAATAAGTGCAGAGGAGCCGGAGGTGAATAAACCCACACCCAGGAGAATTGAAAAGAGATGGGCAGTTTTCTACCTAGCACGGTTTTTTCCTCGCTGCTTATCTGAGGAGCCCTGAGCTCAGAATTCAGCTTCTTAAATGTGTGGTCTCATCCTGCTGATTTTGTTCCTTTTTCATCCAAATAACTTTCGGACTGTGGCATGTCCCACCAGTAACACTACCTCACAGGGGACATTTTCCTCCTTGGCATGCCCACTAATCTCTGTCGGGGAGGCACCCCCTCCTCCTCTGCCTTGCACCTTCTACCCCTGCCAACACCCTTTAAGAGCTCTGTGATCTAAAGCGGGACCACGGGAGTTTGGGCTTGGTGGCATTAAGGGTCTGCTTGTCTCTTCTCTCCCTCACCCAGAGTCTGAAGGAAGGCCTGACGGTGCAAGAGCGGTTAAAGCTCTTTGAATCCAGGGACTTGAAGAAGGACTAGCTGCCTCCCATCCCACCTGAACACCCCCCGAGCTCACAGCAGTCCAGCCGAGTGCTGCTCCCTGTCTGCATCTGACTTTATCACTGTTGTCGTTGCCATCACTGTTGTCTGGGGTACGGGTACATGAGGTGTGTTGCGGGTTGCTCACACCAGTCCCTGCCCGATGGTTCAGACTTCCCAGTGTCTTATCAAAGCTCTTTTCTTTGGTATTCAGAATTGAGTCAGTCAGTCAGCTAGGAGCCAGGCTTCTGCCTTGGTACCACTTCCTTGCTGTAACCACCACGCTATCAGTATTAAGGCCAACAGCCTGTCGATAAGCTAGCTCCGTCTCACGTGGGCACTGGGGCCGTGGGCCGTTGGTAGCTTCTGCTCTGCTGCACATGGCAGTGGTGTGGTGCTGGGTCCTTGGGAGCCAGGTGCTCCATGAGGTAGACTTCCTTGTGGTCACCCTCTGGGTCCAGCACAGCCGTCAGCACACTGGCCAGCCTGGGTCGCAGCACTGCAGCGCACTAGCCTACAGGGAGAAGCAGAGGAGGAAACACAGGCTTCCCTCTGGGGGACTGACATTTGGGAGGACAGTGTTTTGTATTTGTTCCACTAATGCAGCTTAGAACCACATCCCAGATAATTGGGGTAAACCTATCCACAACCTGAAAACTGTTAAAAGCAACCATTCCTAATTTTGTTTGTTTTTTATTAAATCTTGCACAAAATACCAAGTCCTCCTCTCCTTCCTTCCTCTGACTGTTTCTTTCTGGGTCATTAATAACCCTGGTATTTTCAAAACGACTTAGTGTTGACCTGCAGCCTAGTGTTTCAAACTGTGATTGCAAATAATGATGAGTTCCCCTTAGGGAATCATTCACAGGGAAAAGAGAATATTCATTTTACCCTTTCTGTAAAGAAACTGTCAAGTTGCTTTTGAAAAGGTTGAGAGAACCCATATATTAAGTCAAGAAGACAGTAGAGGGGATGTCTGTGTATCATGAAAATTGTCTACTAGTGTGTATTCATGCATCTTAACTATGGTTTAGTTCATCTGAGTGCAGTTGTTTACCTTGGAAAGCCCAGTTAAAACAACTCTGTACTAACAATTTTGCTTTTTCTAATTGGAACAAGATCTTTTAAACTTCCAGGAAGCATCCTACAGCCCTGTTTGTTAGGTTTCTGTGTGACCCCATGGAGACCCTGACTCCCACTAAGATGAGGAGCACAAGCACCTCCGGCCAGGTGGGCTGCTCAGGCAGGGCAGTGGTCACTGCTGTGGGGCAGTCAGCACTTCGCATTCATGCTCGCAGCAGACTTACTGTCTCTGTGGTACATGGAGAAGCCCTGGTGGCGCAGTGCTTAAGCACTCAGCTGCTAATCAGAAGGTTGGCAGTTCGAACCCACCAGCTGCTACACAGGAGAAAGATGTGGCAGTCTGCTTCCATAAAAATTACAGACTTGGAAACCCTGTGGGGCAGTTCTACTCTGTCCTATAGGGTCACTATGAGTCGGAATCAACTCAAGGGCAAACTTGGGTTTGTTTTGTTTTGTGGTACATGGATACTTTGGGGTAAAAATGCAAAAACAATCTTGCTCACTTTCTAGATTGTTACCTCGTTCACGCTCTTCTTGCTGGAGCATGTGAGCATTTCAAGGAGTCCTCACCTACACCCCTCACTCCTTGCTCCTATATTCCCATGTTTCTAAAAGCAGAAGAAAATTAGATCTCTTTTTAAGAATCTTCTCATCTGCAAATGGGCCAGGCCTTTTGTGTCACTGGGCACTAGACCATGCATCTCCTTGGGCAGGCCTGGGCCTGACGGTCAGTGGGCTTTGAGGGGACAGAAGTACCCTCACTGTTCCCCGGATGTCTGACTTGCTGGGGTGCTAAAGCCTCACTACGTGTGCCCTCACCCTCACCTCTGGGAACCTCAGGCCTCCCCGCAACCAGCAGCTTCTGCACCCACAGCCCCCCAAGGGGTTTCTGGGTGGTGCAGTGCTTAGACACAGGCTTCGCCTGCCTGAGGACTCCACACCCTTGGTGTTCTGAGTCATAGCTTTTATTCTTCTTCTCTTACCCCTTGAGGCTAGACCACAAGAATCCTGGCAAACCAATAGGCTGAGGGCAGCATTCTGGGAGTGGAAGGCAGGAAAAGCTTGGCACCTACACGCCCCTTGTCTGTCCATGAAGGCACCCCACCTTCCACTCTGGAATGACGGAACTCGTTCCCGCAAGCTGGTTGAGTTTGGAGCATCCCCAGGAAATGGAGTATTAATGCTGAGCCTCTCCTCTCTGAAAGGCTGCTCCTGGTCAGCCCCCCCACCAAAACACCCTCAGCCCACCCTGGAATCAGAGTGTCACTGATACCACTTCATCAAATAGCGAGCACTCAGTAGGGGAGAAGTGTCTTCTCCAGGGGGCATGAGCGGTGAGAGAGAGGAAAGACTGTTCACTCCAGCACCTGCATGCGTCCCGGAACACAGTATGTTCCTTGAGCGGTCCACCCCACACTGGGTTGCAGAGCTACCCTCTTGGTGTCGGTCCCCACGGGTCATCCAGTTTGCACCCTGTGTCCAGACTGTAGAGGAGAACGAGTAGAAACGGAGGCCCGCCTTGGTTTCTGGATAGTAGAGAAAGGTCCTTCTCAGGGGCTGAATCCTCCCTGCAGGGTGGTGGCATGGCCGTGACGTGGTCGTGTAAGTGACTGTGAACCACTGGCTCTGCACCCAGCCCAAAGCAAGCATAGGCAAGCCTTTCCCACCTCACAGGGGAAGGGAAACATTAGAATGGATAGAATCTTCTCGATTTTTAATTACTTTCCTGTAAATATTTATTACTGTGTTTGTAATCTGTACCGCTTCACCAAATAGCATTTGTAATCTGGCATGGGCACCTATAAGTAACCCATGCCAAATATATTAATGGAAAAACTAAATAGTTTACCTCTGTGTGACAGTTTTTGTGACTGATACACAAGTCACATTATGTGTGCATGTGCATGCTTGTGCATACACACACACAGAACAGTCATTTTCTGCTGGCAAAGTTATTTTATCAATATGTTGTGTGCTTGTGGTTTGAAAACCAGCATTCCCAATGACAGGTGGTCACAGCCCCTGGTGAGGTTTGGCATTCCCTGAGTGGGGGCTGGCAGACAGACAGGGTTTTGCCATTGGAAACAAGCCTGAGCCAGAAGGAGCCACCGTGCAGCCTGGAGCTGCCGGAGCAGCAGTGCACAGGCAGGTGGTGGAGGCAGGTTTGGGAGTGAGTGGCACAGCAAGCATGGGCTCCATCATCACGGTGAGGCCCCCCTCCAGGGACCCAGCAGGTGGAAAGGTGGGACAGGAGGCAGGAAGGGCCCTGCGGGGTCAGTTATGGGGAGACTCAGCAAGGGGCTGTCCACGCAGCAGCTGGCTGAGTCCCACCACTCACCATGGGCCCAACAGCTGTTTACCGGGGGTCTGGCTCAGACCTGACTCAGGAAGACGGGATTACAGTTTTTAAAAAACAAAATTGTTGCACCTCAGCGTATGCCTGAGAGGAATACTGACAGTAAGGCCAGTAAACAGAATTGGTAGCCTGACAAACATTTTTATAGAGATTTATTACTATTATTATACTACCGAGGTAGATAGAACACAAATCTTTGGCCACCTGGAAACAGCATGAGGATGGAACACTGTCCTTGTTATCACTAACACCTGGCTTGCATTTTAGTAACAATGTCCAGTGAGGCACATGTACAGTGGAAAGTCCCTAATGGGTCACAGCCGTGTGGCACACAACAGGACAGCCTACTGCCTGCTCTGGGGCTGAGTCCCGCCTCTGGGCCCCTCCTGGGCTACACACTGCATGGCCAGGCCAGGGCCTCCCAGCTCTCACCGATTGTCCCAGACCCTTAGAAAGGGTCTCTGGCCTTTTACCGCCTAGTAACTCCCCATGGTTCCCGACAGCCCCAGAGCTGGCATGCACAACCCAGGTCCCTTTCAGCCTACGCGCCTTTGAATACAGGCTGTGGCCCAGTTTCAGGGTGGAATTATGAGAAGGCTGCCTCTGTCCCCTACTCATTTGTGCCTATGTGTGCATAGCTAAGCCAACACCAGTTTTCTCACTGCCACTCTTTTATCCAATAATTACTCTTAAGTTCTAAGACAGTTGTTTTCCATGGAATTCAAAGACACTTTCATTTAGTGGGAAGAGACTGCAGTCCATCAAGATTTATTTTTCCTGACAATAATTTGCTCATCATTGTCCTAAAGCAGTTTAGAATTGAACACTTTATAAGGCATACACAAAAATGGAATTCACAGTGACCTCTTTATCACCAAGAAAAGGGAAAAAATTAAGTATTTTCAGAATTTTACAAAGGACAGGGAAGTGTATATTATACTTAAGCAAAATTAAAATTTTTAAAGAAAGGTTTGGCACTTTAATTAGAAACTTCTTTTCTCTGGAAACTTTTATCACTCAAAATATCTCAGACCCTAAAAATCCTGGACAATGTGCTATTCCACTATCATGTGAAATAGGAAGTGTTTGATAGGCATATTCTAGCTGTTGCTGTACTGTTGGTGTTAGCGCAGCCCACCCAAGATACAGTACACATAGAAGATGCTGTTCTGTTTTAGAAGCACACAGCCTGTCCTCTTCCTGGAAGCACCTGGGAAGAATGCTGTTGAGAACTAGTCTTATTTTCAGTTAAGGTGTATCTGCACACTGGTTTTTTCCTCCTTCACCTTCATAGGCTGTTCTACCGTCTCATTCTTTTTAAGAGAAATTACTAGACTGCTCAATAAAACACCCCTTTCCCAATCAGTGGACACAGAAATTGCCTGGGTTTGCCATAAACGTCACACCTTGAAGTTTACTGCTATACAAGTGAGCTTCTGTCCTCTGGCTTTTTTCCATGTCACCAAACCCTCACAAACTCAGCACACAATTGGGTTTTTGATCCTATAAAAGGTCAAGTTTGTCATTGTTTGCCATATGAAGTCACGGGGCATTTTTGTGACACGCTTTCCTCTCTCCACAGCAGGCTAAGTCAAGTCATTCCTCACACCAATCTTAAAAGATGATTGTGCAGTGTCTTACGTACAGTTCTGTGTATTTGTACCCATAGACACAAAGCATTTGGCAAGGTCACCATTTACACAGTTGAAAACAATAAGATCAGACTGAGGTGAGGTCTAGTAAAACCACTTGTTTTAGGTACTTTGCTAGGAGGATGTTACATAACTCCAACATGAAAAATAAACATTACCAATTTCTCCCAGGTTTGGTCTACTATGGAAAGATCCCTGCTTTATTCTTTTGCCCTTTTGAAGACAGTGAGTTTCAAGTATTGTTTTTAAATGTCATCCTTTTTCTGTAAAGGGAAGAAGTCTCCCTTCTCTTAACATCTCTTAATGATAAGGCTTTTACCTGAGTAAGGAAGTTAAAAGCCCAACACTAAACCCTCTATATCAAGCAAGTGGCTCTTTGTTTAAACACAACTTTGGTTCACTTCTCTAGGGGTTTGCTTCTTTGTGGTTCTTATACAGTACTTTGCACATACTTAAAGCTACTGCTCGCTCAACACAGCTTGCAATTTCTCTGTATTTAAAAGCAGCTTTGTTCACTTTCTTAAAAATAACCTGTATATAATTCAGAGCTAGCACTGTAAATATTACTCAGAAGTTACTGCAGGGATTTTTGTGACAAAGTTTGTGTGGATTTTTTTAAATCTTATAATACAGACAGACAGACATCCCTTTTGAAGGGAAGAACAGCCTTGGGTGCAGTGATAAACCTCACCAAGCATTCGGAGGGAATATTTTTAATGACTATTATATCTTTTTAAATGCTTTGGTCATTTAATAGATGGTTTTAAAGAATGTATACAGTACCTAACCCTACAGCCATGTAGTGTTTTTCACTGAATGAATTCTATAATAGTTCTTGGTAGAGCCATTCGGAGTCATTTAGTGAATTCAGGAAATGAAGAAAACTGACCAATACTTCACGCAGTACCTGTACACAGTCACTTCAGATTGTTGTGGGGAGACTTGGTTCGAGGCACAGGGCTGGACTCAGGGATCTAAGCATGTGACTGACAACATCCAGGACTGTACAGGCTGTGTGCAAGCACACTGAGCTTCCCCAGCTCCTCAGCTGTGTCCTGTAATACCACAGAGGTCACACAGCTTTTAACACGTGGTACGCTCTTTTACAAAATGAATCGATGTCAAATTGGTAACAAAACACTGAGTCATAAAATTTTTAAGAACTGGATAATCCACTACTGTGGGACAAAAAGGGAGGATGTTAACGTTTGACGTAGGTTAAATAAACTGTTGGTCTCAAACTGTGGCCACTGTGGTGGTGGACCCTTACCCAGACTGCAGTGTTAATTCACCCTAAGGGATGAACTTTTAAGACCAGATTGTCATCAGACACAGCCACACTG